CGTGGTGATAACCATTCACATAATATAGCTACAAATAGATAAAAATAGTGAACTGTTTTATAGCAACACACAAGTTTCTTGCTCATTCTTCTTGTGATGAGTCTGCGTTGCAAATGCGTGGTAGAAAAAAAAATTTGACTATTGAAAAGAGCTTATATTAAGTTTATTTAAATAAAGACTATTTATATTTCTATTCCAAAATCTTTATATATAAAAATTACGTGTCACGTTGTTTGTCCGCGATGGACTTCTAAACTACTGAACCGATTGCAAATTTCATTTGCACATTGTGTGCAATTTGATCCAAATTGAAAGATAGGATAGCTTACATCTCAATTTATAGTCGCAATATTATTTTATGACAAGAACCTTATACACAGCAACGCGTGGCCGGGTCTGCTAGTAATTTATAGAAAAGGAAGGAGAAATACAATTTCGCCTCGAAAGTACGTCACCACACCCCGAACTACCCAAAGTAAGCAAAGCAACACCAAACTCACTCACCTTTGCTCAGGAACGTCCCGACATGTAGTACAGTTTTATGGCCACGCACTCTATACTATACTCGTGAACGAGTGCTGCTTGTAGGGACTGGTCTGCTCTTATCACTACGACTGATTTAATCTTATTGCATATTTATATTTGACCCAAAAAATTAGAGCTTGTTGGTAGTTTGTATTCACACGTTTCGACTTGTAAATGTAAACTTACAAGGATTATTTAAAAGATCAACACACAAGTTTCTTGCTCGTTCTTCTTGTGATGAGACAGCTTTCCGAACGAGTGGTAGATAAAAAACAAATTGTTATGACTATTCAAAAGTGCTTAAATTGAGTTTATTTGAATAAATGATTTTCTATTCTATTCTATTCTAGAGTGTATATTTTGTTTAAAACAATTATATCAATTAAAGCAGTAATTTTCTTGTTATAAAACAGTAAAATATACGGAGCGTCCATTAACTTCCATTTTCATTTATCTTTTTTTGTAAATTTAAGTGGCCACATGTTTTTATTGGCGGCCAGTATTATCAAGCGTCCTTTGCTCCAATAATCAAGCCGGTAATACAACGTGCTTATATTAAACCACTAAGGAAGTATTCGGAATACGAAACAATTACCTCTTTCCATATTTTTTTTTATTTAATTAAGTTTCTACCTACAGTTACATAAAAGGTCCTTGTAAACTAGAGTTGCCAACCGTCCTGCTTCCCAGGATATGTCCTACTTTTTGTAGTGTTCTGGGAATAGTATTTAAGCTGTAAAATGCTTCTAGTAATTGTTATAATTACTTGAATTTCATTTCATCTATTGTCACTACATATTGATTTAACTTTTGCAACTCTATTACTACGTACTGTTTTTAAATTGAATTAGCGCAGAGGTTGGCAACCCTATAGTAAACTACCATAAAACTGCCTACATGTGATACTAAAATCAAGATTTGGATATATTGATATTGGAGCAGTGGTAATGGGGTAAAATCTCTCGGTTACACTGATATACATAGGAAATCAACTTGGATGGCACACTAGGCAACCTAGGTAGTGATCATGGGCGGTCCTCATGATTGCTTCGATATTGCCTCTAATTCAAGTGTAGAGACCACTTAATATTACACGACACCGTCCTCGCCCGCGAAGACATTGACCCCAACCACATCAACCAATGCAATCGCCCGGTCGCCAGCAACCGATCCTCCGTTCGATCCACCGTCCGTTCAAACGGGGACACAAATTACCGACGACCTGTGCCGAGATTCAAACCCGTAGCGGTGCTCTTAGACTAAAGTCATATCCGTCAAGCAAGAGTTATTCTTCAGCCGCTCGCCCCATATAGTTCGGTAAAGCTGTAAAGGCCAGCTGCGGCCAACATGTAAGTTGGAATCTTTGCATTTAGCTCTCATTTGTGGGGGGAAAGGTGATTGTTAGTAATGTGGATTGATGATCTTACTGCTAGCAATGTACCATGTCAGATTAACCTTCACGCGTTTCCCCCTGGAAACCATCCTGATAAATTCTTGGTGAATTTGTCACGATGGGCTAACTGACCTGACCTGATACTCATCTTATCCTCCACTGGTGTCCCGCCAGCATAAACCGTTAGCGCAGGCGAGTGTACCATTATATTATCATCCATAAAAAAACCTTAATTGGGCCATTGTGCGTGGCCGAGATTACTAAAGTAGGTAGCCAAAAGCGAAGCTTCCTGGTGTCACAGGGTTCACAGCATTAGTATAGTTGGAAAAACCATTTAAAATATACACATATAGCAGATATTATTGTAAAATGATATCCCGCGCTACGCGGTATGTGTCCTCCACCAAAGCCGTTAATAATAATGCACGATTTATTCCACTTTTATCATTCTCTTCATTAATATCATTTGCGGTACAGTACTGAATAAAACGACTTTTGAATATGCTCCATTCCTGAGAGCGGTGGTCATAAGTGAGGCTACCGCTGAACATTATGTTTCCGTAACTAGCCATCACATCACACAATACAATTTTATTAATGCAAACTTAATTACACACGTGAATTATTACTCGTCGCCAATTTGTACTGTATTTAAATAAATAAAATGCTAAATTGCGCTTCACATTTAATTAGACCGTTCCCGCCATTTTTACAATCAGGCTCTGTCAACTGCACAGAGTACGTTATGAACAATATTAATTATGCCAAAGACTATATATACTACAATTATATGAACGACATGATGTTAATACGTAACTTTTAATCTATTAAAAATTCTTTTACAATCACAGAATTTATTACTCAAATACAATTATGTATATTCCTCTATGTTCATTCAACAATATATACATACATATATACATTTAAGAAGACATTACGAGAATAGTGAAGGATTAAGGAATTTTATAATTTGAAGGATTTTTGTGACTATATATAACTATCGACTGGAGAGATTCTATTTTACTATATATATATATATCACTTTTTACAGGGGTAATACGTTCAAACACGCGGGCCTTAGCCAAGCGTGGATGAGTTATATGATGATGATTGTTCAGGTGCGGTTGCACTAATTTGTGGCCCAAATTGTATTTTGATACTGCAACACTGAAACGTCGGTATTTCAGCGGGCCATAGACAATATGTTAACCGTTATACTTTTTTTTTTGGCAAAAGGCTAGTGTTGCCTATTATGCCACTAAAAACAGGAAACGAGACAGGATAATGGAAAGGAACGGGTTAAATTTTTAATATACTCGGAATTAGTGATCATGGGTTTTAAAGTTTAATGTTATTATGGAAAATAAAAGACGCAAGAGATTTATAAATTATAGGATTAGGATGAGCTAATAGGCATACAATGGATGAAGGAAAAGGAATTTCTAATGAGATGAGTGTTTCTATAAATGAAGAACGATCGAATATTCGAAATTTGTCAACGATCATATACGCATTATCACACGCAACCATTGTAAACCTATTTTCAAGTAATTAAAAAACTAGACAGAAATCCACGAGTTTGATTACACATCAAGACCGTCTGCTCAATAAAAGGCGTAAACAATGATAAAGTGATGAAGAAAGAAATTTCCTTACAATATGGTTGATGTTCCTTACGGCATGTATTGAGTGACAGCTTTTTATAATAGTTCTATTGTAGAAGAGGGGATTTGCGACGTGTCTAGATGTTTGCTAATGCTATATTTAGATTCAGCCGCTTACCCTGCCACTGGCGGTGCCGGAAATATTGCCGGGCCACAACTGAGCGAGAGGGCTGAATGTAAAAACACGCTGCCACTCGCGCTGCCAGTCCTTTGACTCGCGCACGAAAAACCGACAATCGAGGGAGCGCCGGGCGCGACAGTGGCAGCGCCAATGGCATGGGAAGTGTTTCCACTCTCGCGCTGCTCTCTTCCCTGCCCACTCGGGCTGAGTGTAAATTGGGCAAAGACTTCTTGGTATCTTCTTTGCTCTCCTAGCCTTTGTTGTGACAGGTACATTGTTGGGAATTTCTGAGTAAATTGTTGATGCAATGTTTTAACATATGCTTTTAGGTTTTGCTCGTTGTTTGTTATATAGAGGTATATGCGCCAAATAAATTCGTTCATTTGCTTTGACCATTTTTGACGCACGATTTGAGCCAGAAGTGGGTACAGAAATAATGGCTTCTGCCTCCTGCACAACATCTACTGACTGTGGTGACACTGAAGCTGATGAATTGTCAAATATTATTATTATTATAATTTTCTCTCTGTATAAATTATTTATGTATAATTTTTAAACAATATTTTACATGGCATTGCTACGGCAACACATGATATCTACTATAGTTAATTTTAACTTTCGTGTTTCATATACATTATTTAAATTATTAACCGGGTCTTAACACGAATAATTTTATGGCAAATAAAGGTATTTACCTCTCTCGACGTTTCGACTAGGTTGCACTAGCCGTGGTCACGAGCTGACTGGAGTAACAGCGATGTCAATGTAGATAGGTGACAGCAGTTTTTTCATCTACCATCACTAGATTGTTCAACGAAAGTTCGCAACACAGCACTCACGGTATCCGTACACTTATCGACTGTTGATGCTACTGAACTTTGCTTGAATTGATTTATGACTGATTTCCACGCAGATGATAATTTTAATTATTCGTGTTACGACCCGGTTAATAATTTAAATAATGATACCTACAATGCCTTATCATATTTTGTACTGTTTTTGAGAAAATAAATAATTATATGTACAAGGAATGTCTACGCACTCAACGCACCGCTCCGCGGGCTGCGGGGGCGGTGCTGCGCATCGGCAACTGCGGCCGGTGGCGGACACCGGCATTCTTGTCCGACCGGCATCGACACTTACCGGCTTACAAATAATCCCTCCATTCTAAATTTTATCTGAATCTGTCCGTTGTTCATAACAGTTTTTATATTAAACCTATTAATACAGTCCACTAGTTTCATTGGCTATCCAGGACGTAACAGGAATGTTCAATCTACAAACGAATAAAACAATATAGACTTTAAATAAATTTAAGTAAAGCATATGATACAGTAGCACGTAATTTTAGGTACAGACCGACCGCCGTGGAGCACCTCACACCCACACACACATAATTACACTATTAATACAAGTCTTTGTCACACAGTATCATACCATGTTGCGCCCGTTATCTCCTGCTATCCTATCCACGATCTGAGAACAAAAATGGCAAAAGTTATCCTTACCTCGGTTAGTTTACCTTGGTGGTCTAGCGGTCTAACACACCGCTTTACGTCCGATGGTCGCGGGTTCGATTCCTCGCACGGCACAAACATTTGTATTCATGAGTATGATTGTTTGTGTCGGTCTGGGTGTTTTCTATGTATATTAAGTATGTATTTACGAAAAAAAAATATCTATGTATTTGTATCAGTTATCTAGTACCCATAACACAAGCTTTAGCTAGCTTAACTTGGGTCTAGATGGTGCTGTGTGAATTGTCCTGAGATTATTAATTCCTTAATCATTATCATTACATAATCATCATCATCATTACATAGTATAAAACAAAGTCGCTGTCGCTGTCTGTCCGTCACTATGTATGCTTAAATCTTTAAAACTACGCAACGGATTTTGAAGCCGTTTCTTTTAATAGATTGAGGGACTCGAGAGGAAGGTTTGTATGTATAATACATGTACACCCGGGCGAAGCTGGGACGAGTAGTTAGTTAATATTATAAACGCGAAAGTTTGTAAGCATAGATAGTTGTTTGTTACACTTTCACGTAAAAACTACTGAACGGATTTTGATGAAACTTGCAGTAATATAGCTAATACATCAGAATAACATATAGACTATAATTCCATAACATATAATGTAAATTGGGCAAAATATAATGATAAATGTCAGGTTAGTGTGATGCAGAGGAAATTGCGCGGGTCAGCTAGTTTTTTATAAATGATCAAATAAGCATTTACCATATGTACATACGTACCTTTACCTTACAAGTATTGTTTTTTTTTATTAATTGACGGCCTCGGTGGTCTAGCGGCTTAGCACTCCACCTTACTACCGATGGTCGCGGGTTCGATTCCACGCAAAAATCAAATCAAATCAAAAAGCAAATCAAGGGCTAGTATAAAATAAAAAAAATTACTCACCCCCCGTATGATAGGTAGATTAAGTAGACTTCCCAACACTGGGATCATTCTTAGGAAGTTAACTGCTGCAGGCAGGAAACCCCTGAAAATAACATAAAACACATTTCACATACAATTTCGTATATAAGTATCGTTTAGAAAAAGTCCATGGGTTTTTTATGGGAATGGGTATAAAAATTTACAATAAGATACCAAAGGATATACTGGAATTACACTTAAATAAATTCATAACATCTGTTAAATCATATTTACTGAGCAGAGCCTATTACTCACTAAACGATTACTTGAATGACGAGCGTGCATGGCAATAGTTGGTCCTGCACGGGATTTTCATTTAATGTTAGACTTTGACACCTATGTGAGTAATCATTGTAAATAAACTGGCTTTTAAAAAAAAAAGAAATCCAAAATAGTTTTTTGCCAGTTCTTCTCTGCCTAAGACTAAGAATATTAATGAAAATCATACCTGAACAATAAGAGGAATCCGTAGATCTCTGCTATCATGCCAAACATGGGCCAGCCCATGAGGACGACTATGATCCCCCCAAAGAATGCCACAGACGCTTTCACTTTGTGCCTTTGGAAGAAGAAGAAGAATGTCCGCTGCAGGCCTATGATGCAAGCCAGGCCGCTGATGAAGAGGATCTGGAGAATGGAGAATAATTTTGTTGATAACATTGCAAAGATTTGTACTTTTTATATACAATAATAATAATCTCAGGACAATTCACACAGCTAGGCCCAGTGCCATCTAGACCCATGTTAGGCTAACTAAAGCTAGTGTTATGGGTACTAGATAATTGATATAAAAACATAGACTTTTTTTCGTAAATACATAAAACACCCAGACTGATACAAACAATCATACTCATGAATACAAATGTTTGTGTCGTGCGAGGACTCGATTCCGCGACCATCAGAAGTAAGTGTGTAAACCTATATATATATATATATATATATATATATATATATATATATATATATATTTTTGACATTACATTAAAATATTTTCAGTTGAATGCTTACAATCTTTCTAACATTTTTCAGCATACAAGTGCTGTCTTTTCTTGCAAGAGATTGTGATTCAATTTCAGTCTTTATTAATTAACTACCCATTAAAGTCAACAAATAGTAACTCAAATAATAAAGGTAATTCTTCTAATTTCTAAGAAAGTTCCTTTCTAGGGGCAGGGGCGGATTGTGAATTAGTGGGGCGTTGTGCTAAATCTACTTAGGTGCCTACTTATCGTACCTAATTATATTACTCAAGAGTAAACCAGAAATTCCCCATTCCTTTTGATAAACCTTGAGATCAATCAACTCATGCAGGGTTGCCAACCTTATGATAGGTTTTTAACATTCTAGAAATTTTTGTTATATTCTAAATATTGTTTCAGTGGGGATTGGGCTGCAGCCCAAAAAGCCCTTAGGTAGATCTGCCCTTGTCTAGGGCTAGTACGGTGAAATAGGTCATCCTAATAACAAGCTATACCACCAAAGCTGTTAGACAGTCTACCTCAGTTTTGTTAGTTTTCTTCAAAAGTAGAGAGTTTATATAGATATTCATTATCTTTTTTATGAGCAAAGCCACTGATTTAAATTATCATATAAATGAATACCAGTCAGTAAAACTTCCTGGTGATCTTACAGCTTACCCGTGATCATGGCGGTTGAAACTACCGAAATATCGGGAACTCAATAAAAATAAAACATGGTGATTTACGAATTATACATGTAAATAAAGTACTCACATTGCCTATGGCCAGCAGGCCTTTATCAAACAACAATAATATTCCGAGAAAGAGAAACGTCATCCCAAACCCCACCAGGCCGACGCCGATCTCTGGAAATTATTCAATTATTATACTAAATTAATTATTATATAACCAAAAAATCTGCTTATAGTCTGGAAGACTAATTGCATGATAAAAATAAAAAAAATATTATATTAATAATTGGGCATAGAGCAGTAGTTTTTTCTTTATTAGCTTGTAGATGAAGTAGTTTTAATGGAAATAATCTTTATTCAAATAAACTTAATATAATTTTGAATAGTTGGATATTTTTTTTATTCTACCACTCATTTTTTAGGTCATCACAGAAAGAAACAATATATATATATATATATATGTATATAATAAAAGTCTTATAGATATAGATATAAAACTTTATTATTGTATATATTTTTTTTTCTTTCTCTGATGAGCTATGAATAGTAGAATTATAAGATCTTATTTATTTCTTTCATTCAATTTTTTATTTTGTAATTCAAATATAATTGTAAATATGTCATATATGCAAATTGAATATTAAAAAGTGATGTGTATTTTATAAATTGTATAATTTTTATATTTGTGTATCATTTTTCATTTTATATAAATTATATAGAATTATTCATCATGCTGTAATTTACCTCCATGTAACTATACATTTAAAAAAAAAAGTAGATAAGTGGCTTAAGTGGCCAGTTACTGGTGAGTTTACCCTACCTAACACAATGGTGGGTTAACAATAGAGCATTATAGGATGAGCATGAAGTCCAGGGCCGTGACTATATCCCTTTACTAACAATTCCCTCCACCCAAAAATATTAGTTTGTAATTGCAAAATTATTTATACAATCTTGAGCTCATTATATTATCTACAACAAATCTGTTGTGTTATTATTCACAGCCAGTAATTGTAGATTAAAATAATTACCTACAGATAATTGATACTATACGATTTTATCTTAAATATTTATCAATTTTAGTGTGTAAATATGACAATTAATATTATACATTTCAATATGTTTATCGCCTTTAAAATTAATATGACTTAACTAAGACTTATAGAAGATTAGTAACAATAATTTTCTAGATTATTTATAATGATTTACGAAAAAAATATTAGTGAGAAATAGTAAATATTTATTACGAAATGACTCTCCCTATACTGATTTTAAAATGTCTCATTCCATAAAGACCACTTACTTTGAACGTCGGATATTTCAATCATTTTGTAGTTTTACTAATTATCTGTAGATTTAATATATTTATAATCATAGAAATAATTTATTAAATTGTAAATAAATTAATACAACAAATTCATAACCTACAACTCCACGTCATTTTCGCATACAATACAATCAAAAATTGTCACTCTGACATTGACAGCCAGCAGAAACTATGACGTTGACACAAACAAACCACCGAAATCGATTGTAATTACATTAGTACTTTAATTGGAGAATTACATAAAAATACAAAAATTAAGTTACAACGTAAATATGTTGTTAGTAGATATAGTAAGGTGGCGCACCTTTATTGAAGGTACAACCTTATTGCGACCACATAATTTTTTTGGGGATATTTTGTGTGCCAAATTTATAATAATGACAAATAACAAACACAAATTACTTTCAATATATACCAATATACTCAATAAATAGTACTTATCTCTATTACCAATATTTAAATATTAATCGAATGATATTTTAAAAAAATCGTGTAGTAACACTGATTATGACAGTTGGGCTAAAAAAAACTTGTATCCAGAGCCCGAAAACGTATTAATAAAAAAAAAACAAACACAGATCATTGATTCAAACACAGACTATAGAAAATCATAACCTTCAAAATCAATGAAATCGGCGTCTGCCTTTAGTAATCTGCCATTTTGTTTTGTTTTATATCAGAATACCTAAGAATCTCGTTTATTTATGCCTAAAAGTTTATAAATAATATTAACATAATAAAAACTTTTAATGCTTATATGTAGCTTAATTTATACAAGTGTTTTAGTGAACAAATTTGGGGTTACAAGTTCTTGAATATAACCAAAGTTATTAATTTGTGATAATGGTTCGTGGAGCTGGCCGCGGTGGTCGAGGAATGCCAGGAAGAGGTGGTATGGGCCGGCCACCCTTCAACAGACCCCGAGTGTTAATGCTAAGGCCGCCCTTCGACCTAATTTTAGCAGAACCGGCTTTCCCAAGATGCAAGCCTGCGCCTGACGATTCTGCGTTAACACAAGTAATTTTCGTCTATATTTAACCTCGGTCTACTATGTCTTATGTGTTAACTAGAAAACCAACTATTAAAGACTATTTTCATTGAGATTAGATCCATATATTATTGAGTAGACTGCAGAATAGAATAGAAAATAATTTATTCAAATAAACTTACATGGAAGCACTTTTGAATAGTCATCACATTTTTTTTAATCTACCGCAGAGATAAACAATATTATTAAAGAAAGAAAGAAAGAAAAATATTTTATTCAGTGCAATGTAAAAATACAACATAAACAACAAAAGAAAAAAAAGAGCAAATAAAATTTATTAAATATTCTTAGCTTTTTATTTGTTTTTTTTCAAATTAAGTTTTTATTCTAATAATGATGTACTCATTAATAATGTAATAAAAGTTACCAACAAATACAATAACAGTTGAAACATTATTGTAACCCACTGATACTGACATAATGCTAAACAGGTCTCTATTATCTATACATATTAGTACATAAAGCAAAAATGTTGTACCCCTTTATATGAAATTTTGCAGATGAAGTAGTATGAAATTTCGCACACTTATCCATACATATAAATAAAATTGTAGTGTCTGTTTGTAATATTGAAATAACCGTTTTTTACTACATGCATATGAATATAAATGCAGTACATAAACCAAAATAACATTTTTTACAAGTTTTGTTTGTCTGTTTTTTACGACCGATGGTCGCGGGTTCAATTCCTTGCACGGCACAAACATTTGTATTCATGAGTATTATTGTTTATATCGGTCTGGGTGTTTTCTACGTATAATATGTATATATTTGTATCAGTTATCTATTACCCATAACACAAGCTTTAGCTAGCTTAACTTGGGTCTAGATGGCGCTGTGTGAAATGTCCTGAGTTTATTATTATTAATATAAGCATATTTGAATAGTCATTTTAAACTTGTTGCCACACACAACAACAATGCAGAATCACTTTCCAATAATGGTATATCGGAACCATTGCAATAAAACTTTAAAAAAAAGAGCTTATTCCTGCTTAAAAGTTCTGTAACATGCAATTCCCCTGGTGTTGTGGATGCTCATGAGCGGCAGTAATCACTTACCATCAGGTGAGCCCCGCAGGTTCATCTGTCCCCTATGAAAAATGTCTTATTTTTAGTGCTAGAATCAAAGTATAATATGACTATTCAAAAGTGTTTAAATTAAGTTTATTTTGAATAAAGATAATTTCCATTCTGTATTATTAGTTCATTAAGATACATGTTGTTAAATCTAAATGACATTGTTATTTATATCTTATGTTTTATACATACTATACAACAAAGTAGCTGTCTGTTCGTCCCTATGTAAGCTTAAATCTTTAAAACTACACAACAGATTTAAAATTTTTTTTCAATAGAAAGAGTGATTCAAGAGGAAGGATTATATATATAATAATACATGTACACCTGTGCAGCTTCGCACGTGTAGTGTAAATATAAATGTTTAATGATTGAAAATCATTTATTCAAATAAACTTAATTTAAGCACTTTTGAAAAAACAATTTGTTTTTTATCTACCACTCGAAAGCTGTCTCATCACAAGAAGAACGAGCAAGAAACAAGTGTGTTGCTCTTTTAAATATAAAAACAAGTCGCCGTTTGTATTTATTGACAGGCACTCCTCAAGAGGCATGCGGAGTTGTGTCCAACGCCGGCCGAACAGTCGGCCGTCCTCAGCCTCGTCACAAAACTGCAGACTGTACTCGACAACCTGGTGGTAGCACCTGGTGATTTTGCCGCTTGTGTGAGTAATTATTTAAATCATCATTGCCTTGCGCTTATACCATTATTGGTGTCGGCGCAGTATGTCATCCTATTGGGGGCTCAAGTATTACTTAAGCAGATTTATTACAATTATTTACCCCCCCCCCCCCGCATCCCCCTTGTCAGCAAAAGTAAGCAAAGCTCTTACCCCTCCCCATGCTTACGTAAACTTTTTTCAATTAATGTATTGTTTTTTTAGCAAAGACAATGTGTGGGTTGCCAAAAGTAACTATATAACTACCGATGACGTATTCATCATCTAGAGTCCTCCACCGCCCATGTCATCCAAAATAAGCAAAGCAAAGACGGGGTGTCTTGGTCGCCCCCCCATAGTGCTTACGTAATACTTGAACGGCCCCCTTCCACTGATCTCTATCAGTCGTCATATCTGAACATACTCTCTGTCAATAAAACGCAACACAAAATTAGTGTTTTTAGTGGAGCACCACCCATCCTATTTGTATCCGCGATATAACGTAGACTTAAAAAATCTAATCGATCGACGCAACGTACCTACATTTGGTTCAACAAATTTTGTAATTAATAGTCATTTACCAATTTTGTAATTAATAAAAAAAAAGTATAAAAAATTATAAACAACAAACAGAAAAAAAAGAGCAAATAACATGTACATATAATTAAACTAGATAAGATAGACAAGATAGTAAGCGAGATCTATCTTTTGTAGAAATGATAGATCTCGCTTATATAGATTACAGGGTCGTATGGTGAGTTGGTTATAAACCATAGTGCCTTAAGAATAGTCTTTACTTACTTATTTGTCTTTTTTGATATATTGAGGGTAATAATAAAAGATACACAAGTATTGTTATACAACACTCTTTAAGTGTTGATATGACACTACTCCCATTTTGTCCTGAAAATGCTTGATGTTGCTGTACCTTGTCTTCCCCTCCTTACATCCCTCTACTTTTTTTATTTACAAAAAAAATTGACTATATTACTAACAATTACCTTCCCTCCAGTTGTCCGGGGTAATGTAATGTAATGTAGGTTGGACTCCATTTTCCGCAATTGGCCTCTCATTTGGGCCGTTGTGCGTGTAGAGCCAGGCTACTAACGTAGCCAGCCAAGCTCCTCCCAGAAGCGCAGATGTCTCCTGGTGTCTTCGCAGGCTTCACGGAGCGATCTCACCATTCCGAGGATTTGATTACCTTGTGTGGCCACTGCTACGCACTCCAGGATTACGTGAGCAGCCGTTTCCTCGGTTATAAAGCAGCCCCGGCTCAGGGGACCGTCTGTAGCACCTACTGTGTACAGATTTTTGTTTAAGGGACAGTGGTTCGTCATTGTCCCTATCATTATTTTTATGTTGTGCCTGTCCAGATTAAGTAGGCGTTTTGTCATTCGTTGATTTGTTCTAGGAATTGCCACTTTTGATTGTTTGTTGGCGAATCCAGGATCGAAATTGTGAGAATGGTAATGGGAAGAGCGGGAGGGGGCCTTCTACCGTCATGCCTGATCCTCTTCTCGCCAACTCGTCCGCGGCATCATTTCCATATGATCCACTATGCGCTTTTTATTAGTTGTAATTTTGTTTTAATTATTATCATTAATATTTTAAATAGTGCCCTCTCTCTCCCCCCCTTTTATATATATATTTTTATAATGAAGTGCCCACCAAAAACCATGTCTCACGGTAGGACAAAATACATTAAAAAAACTGAGCCTGGAGCCATGTTTACACGGGCACTATTGGATGTAAAAAATGTTTATTTTATGTTTATTTTTTAATTATGGTAAAATAAGTTTAATTATATGTACATTTTATTTGCTCTTTTTTTTTCGTTTGTTGTTTATATTGTATTTTTTACATTGCACTGAATAAAATATTTTTCTTTCTTCTTTCTTTCTTTTATCCACTAGATGGTAACAGTTGTCCGGAGTTCCTAATATTCTTTTTTTTACAGCAATTAGAAGAAGTGAGGCAAGTTGGATCATATAAAAAAGGCACAATGATGGCGGGGAAGAATGTGGCAGATATTGTAGTTATAATGAAGACGTTACCCACCAAAGAAGCTGTGGAAGGTCTCTCCAACAAGGTAAGTTTAGTACAAAATATCATTATACAAAAACTAACGCCTACGTTAACTGTTTACGTCAGACGGGGCATTTCAGATGGAAGATGACAAGAAACTGAGCTGAGGTATTTTTTTTAATGTTGTACATATTTACAATAGCAATATATTTAAATTCAAATTCCAGAATAGAGTGACCCCAGGAAACCATCGTATAAAAAAATGAAAAAAAATACTAATCATGTGCTAACTGAACAGACCAGTCCCCACAAGATGTCAAGTTAATCTCCATCATTCCCCAACCATATTAGGAAACCATCGTGATAAATTTTGAATTTACTACGATGTGCATAACTGTTTCAAGACCTCATGATGTCATTTATATTATTTACAGCATTCCCCCAGGAAACCATCGTGATAAATTTCTGAATTTACTACGATGTGCTAACTGACCTGACCTCATGATGTCAAGTTAATCTCCACGCCATTCCCCCAGGAAACCATCGTGATAAATTTCTAAATTTACTACGATGTGCTAACTGACCTGACCTCATGCTCATCCTATCATCCTCCACTGGTGTCCTGCGGCGTAAATCATTAGCGTCATCTAATTTAAGTGCTATATCATCCATAAAAAAATGATTTCTGTACTGCAGTTTTTTTTTTCTATTTTAATTGGCGAACTGGCGCAATTCTATAAGCAGTTCTGTTGAATGTTGCTTGATTTGTAGGCGATGAAGTCAGCACCACTTCTGCCTTTCTACAGTATGTTCCTTCTCTTCAGTCTCTAAACTGTGTGAGAAGGCGCCAAACTCCAAGAGATCTGAAATAAAAATAGAAATAATCTTTATTGAAATAAACTCATTACAAGCACTTTTGAATAGTCATATTTTGATTCTACCACTCATTCGGAACGCAGATTCATCACAAGAAGAATGAGCAAGAAACTTGTGTGTTGCTCTTTTGAATAGTTTTTTTTATATAAATAATTACAGTATAACAAGAAAGAGGCATACGATAATCAACTTAGAAATCGCTACGCACTCATTATTAGTGTAATCAGATAATATCGTCAGTGCTATGGATTTTAAGTTTTTCTATAAAAACATTATTATCGTTAACGAATTCTTCAATTTTATAGTAAGCTTTTTTGCAAAGGAAATGTTTTATATATATATATTCTTTATTGTACTTTTAAATACAGTTGTAAACTTAAATATATACAAAGTGAGCAAAGGTGGACTTATCTCTAAAAGAGATCTCTACCAGTCAACCCAACAGTGAGGCATAACTATTAGTGAGAGGGTAACACATTGCACATGTGCAATTAACAATATTATGTTGAAATATCCTAAAGTTGAGAAAAAAATCATTTTTATATGACATTTAAATCTTTTTTCAGACAGATTTATAGCAGACTCTGGTATTTTATTGTAAAACCTTACGCAATTACCCTAAAACGAATTACTAACTTTAGTTAAACGACATTTAGGTAATATCAGTTTGTTATTGTGCTGCATGGATTATTATTATTATTATCATCTACTGTTAGTGCCAATTGATGTCTATTTTTGGTGGATTTGATTTTTGATGCTGTCACTTTTAGTGTCTACGACAAACCTAAGAAGAATATTATTCTTAGTCAAAAATACGTCAGTTTTAAAACATCTTACATGAAAAAGTTAATTAATAAAAGTTGCTCTAACAGTAAAAAAAATTGTTATTTTTTGATAAATACACTTGGTCTGTATATTTCTGGATGTGCCGCTTTATCTGTTCATGAATTGTTGGCGCATCAGGTACTTATGAATCTCTTCAAGTTTCGAGAGAGTTTTTTATGTAATTTCAGATACATAAAGTCGTCCTGATAAATCTTGGTTAGAAGAAAATAATAAATAGTCCGTTTTAACATCAAGGTAAATGAAGAGTTGAACAAGCTGATGCGCGCCGAGGGTGTGGGCTTGGTGAGCTGCGGCAGCCACGAGCGAGGTTTCACGGTGACGTCGACGGGCCCCGCCAGCGCGGCCGTCCGCGTCCTGGTCACCACACTTCACCAGAACCTCAGGAAGTTGGAACCTGAAGTATGGCTTCCAATTAATCTATACATATAAGTAAAATTGGAGTGTCTGTAATATTGAAATAACATAACGGGACATACACCAAAATAACATTTTTTACAATTTTTGTCTGTCTGTCTGTTGGTCTATTTGTTCCGGCTAATCTGAAATTGGTGGACCGATTTTGCCGGGACTTTTTTGGCAGGTAGCTGATGTAATGAGTAACTTAGGCTACTTTTATTTTAGAAAAATAAAGTTAAATTACACGCGTACGAAGTCGCGAGTACAGCTTAGAATAGATTTTTTTTTAATTAAGATCTATCACTCATTTCTATTCGGACTACTCTAATGATGTTGTCCGCAGCTGGTCTTTACAGCTTCACCGGACGATAGGGGGCGAATGCAGATGGTATTCCAAACCAAAGGAAGGACTTATGGAGCGGCTGTAGGCCAACTCCCGCCTGACGTATACGACTTCGAAAAATAGTCTCATCACAAGAAGACTGAGGAAAGACACTCCAATTTTAGAATAGAATAGAATAAAAAATCATTTATTCAAATAAACTTGCATTGAAGCACTTTTGAATAATCATTACATTTTTTTAATCCACCGCTCATTCGGCTCACTCATTTTATTTATATGCATAGATTATATGTACATATTCTTGTTTGCAGGTACATTTGGACTACAAAGTGATCAGCAGTCACTTGGCCGCCATCCGGCACAGTCGCTGGTTCGAGGAGAACGCACACCACTCGTCCATCAAGGTTCATATATAATATAATATATAAAATTCTCGTGTCACAGTTTTCGTTCCCATACTTCTCCGAAACGGCTTGACCGATTCTCATGAAATTTTGTGAGCGTATTGAGTAGGTCTAAGAATCGGCCAACATCTATTTTTCATCCCCCTAAATGTTAGGGGTAGTCCATTTTTTTCTTATTTTAAGGCAAAACAACGTTTGCCGGGACAGCTAGTATAATATATATTTTAGGATGGATAGAAAGGGAGAGGACGCCCCAATAAAAGATGGATGAATTGTGTGAAAGATGATATAAATAATAATAATAATATTTCAGAACAATTAACACAGCGCCATCTAGTCCCAAGCTAAGCAGAGCTTGTGTTATGGGTACTAGACAACTGATATAAATACATGGATACATTTTTTTTGTAAATAAATACATATTATACATAGAAAACACCCAGACCGATACACAATCATACTCATGAATACAAATGTTTGTACCGTGCGAGGAATCGAACCCACGATCATCGGATAGTAAAGCGGTGTGCTAAATCACTAGACCACCGAGGCTGTATAAAGAATAAAAGGAGAGTATGCTCAGATACGACGGCCGATAGAGATCAGTGGAAGAGAATGACATACTGCGCCGACCAAACATACAGACATAAAGACAAGGCAATGATGATGGTATTTTAACTAACAGATCCGGCGTTGCTGTGGCTAAGGTTCTTGAATAAAATAATATTGCGACTATAAATTGAGATGTAAGCTATCCTATCTTTCAAGTTGGATCAAATTGCACACAATGTGCAATCAAAATTGCAATTGGTTCAGTAGTTTAGGACAGTAGTTAGTCCATCGCGAACAAACAACGTGACGCGTCATCATCTGCTTCTTCCTTATCCCATTTATTTGAGGTCGTCGTAATATGTTTTTCTCTTCCATTCATCCCTGTTCGCAGTCATCGCGTTATTCACTCCCTGTCTCACCATATCATCTTTCACACAGTACATCCATCTCTATTTCGGCCTTCATCTGCCCTTATAACCATCCACATTCATATATAACACCTTCCTTAAAATATGATCTTCATTCCTACGCATTACGTGTCCACACCATGATAGACGATTACTCTTCAACCTCTCTGACACCGGCGCCACTTTCATACTTCAACGTGACACGTAATTTTTATATATAAAGTTATGTATATATATACTAGCTGTCCCGGAAAACGTTGTTTTGCCATATAAATTGATATCGCTATTAAAAAATAGGGGTTGGTGATAGAAGGGTGAAACTTTAGGGTTGTATATATTTTTTAATGTCACATAATATAAATTAAAAATTATGTCGAAATATTTTTTATGTGGTGATCGACCCTTAACAATTAGGGGTATAGAAATTAGTTATAAACCTAATCTCAGACTTACTACCAAAACGGCTTGATCGATTTTGATGAAATTTTATACGTATATTCACGTATAAAATTTCAAAATTATTCAACATCATTACAAAGTATAAAATAAAGTCGCTGTCGCTGTCCGTCCCTATGTATGCTTAAATCTTTTAAACACGCAATAGAGTGATTCAAGTGGAAGGTTTATATATATAACACATCTACCCGGGCAAAGCCAGGGCGAGTAGCTAGTACTATATAAAGATATTATAATTTTCAATCCTAAATTATACTTTTTAATAGGTGTTAATAAGACTGCTGCGTGATATGTGCGCGCGGCACACAGGACTCGAACCCCTCACCCCGTGGATGATCGACCTGCTGGCGCACCACTGCATCATGAACAACCCCGCGCGCCAGGCGTTACCCATCAACGTTGCATTCAGGTAATAATAGAAATAGAAATAATCTTCATTCAAATTAACTTAATATAAGCACTTGATTATTACATTTCGCAGGTTCGATTACTCGCATGGTGCAAATATTTATGAATATATATACGGTGCAAATATTTATAATATAATTCATGAATATGATTGTTTTTATCGCTCTGGATGTTTACTATGTATTTTTTAATCTTATTCTATGTATTTATAACAAAAAAATATATCTAAGTATTTATATCAGTTGTCTAGTACCCATAATACAAGCTCTGCTTACCGTGGGACTAGATGGCGCTGTGTTAAGTGTCCATAAAAAAACATATTTCAATTTTTTTTTACTTTATTCAAATAAATTTAATATACTTTTGAATAGTCACATTTTTTTTATTCTACCGCTCATTCGGAATGCAGACTCATCACAAGAAAAATGAGCAAGAAACTTGTGTGTGTTCTTTTAAATAATTGTTGTTCTAAGTAAATAACAAGGATTAGGCATGCGACAATCAACATTGAAACCGCTACACACTCAATCTTTGTGTAATCAGATAATATTGTCACCGCTATGAATTTTTAGGTTTTCTACAAAAATATTATTGTCATTTATAAAGTTTTCAATTTTATAATAAGCATGATAAGATGAGAATAAGGTTAGGTCAAATTGACCAAGAATTCATCACGATAGTTTCCAGGGGGAACCGCGTGGAAGTCAACTTGACATGGTACATTGCTAGCAATAAGATCATCAGTCCACATCACTAACAAATCCCCTTTCCACCAAGATGATATGGCTAGAAAGTATGGACACGTAATGCGTAGGAATGAAGATCATATTTTAAGGAAGGTGTTACATATGAATGTGGATGGTTATAAGGGCAGAGGAAGACCGAAATAGAGATGGATGTACTGTGTGAAAGATGATATGGTGAGACAGGGAGTAAATAACGAGATGACTGCGAACAGGGATGAATGGAAGAGAAAAACATTACGACGACCACAAATAAATGTGATAAGGAAGAAGCAAATGATGAGCTACTATTGTTTGTGTTGTGTTGTAGACGCGCGCTGTCCCTGGTGGCCGGAGGTCTCTTCCTGCCGGGGTGTGCAGGGCTCCCGGATCCTTGCGAGGCGGCCCACGCACGCGCTCACACCGCACTAGACCTCGCTGCTCAGGACGCCGCAGCCGCCACCGCACAAACGTTAGTACTATTGTTATCAGTCCGAACTGACGGTAGATTTGACATATTATAAGTCTGTAATAGACCTACATGAATAAAGATATTTTGAATTTGAATTATTAGATATAGTAGTACTATACGACGTAGACTGTATCTTATTGACACAAGCTACGGGGGGTAGACCAATGAACCAAGTTTGCCTCTGTAATATCTGACTTATACTCGTGATTATTACTAATATTGTAAATGCGAAAGTGTCTGTCTGTTAAACTGTTTAGCAGTGAAAATGTAAAATTCTAATACAGTGCAACCACTGTAATTTTTATTATATAAACTATAATGAAATGAGTGTTTAACACTGAATGAATGAAAATTCGTTCAGTTTTAACACTCATTAAATAATATTAAGATGCATGAATGGTTAATTTAACTAATATAATTTTAAGAAATATTTAAACTGTATTTCAAATATAAATATTTTTTGTATGTTAGTTTGTAAGATATATATTTTATATTTTATCTGTACATCTATTCATCACCATCATCATATAAATAAAATTAGATTGTCTGTCTGTAATATTGAAATAACCGTTTTTTACTACATGCATATGTATATAAATAAGGTACCCCAAAATAACATTTTTTACAATTTTGTCTGTATGTTTGTTCCGGCTAATCTTTGAAATGGCCGGACCGATTTTAACGGGACTTTTTAGGTAGCTGATGTAATAAGGAGTAACTTAGGCTAGTTTTATTTCAGAAAAAATCTTTTAATTAAAAAAAATAAAGGTAAATTCCACGCGGACCAAGTCGCGGGAACAGCTTATATAGGGCCATAAAGTAGCTCGAATTAAATAAATTATTGCATTAAACAGTTTCACCCCAACCCTAAAGCTATTTATTATGTTAAAAACCCTTAAACAGGTTGCTACGCGTGGTCGCTCGCGGCGGTCACCGCTACGTACTAGGGCTGCAGGCCTTCGAAGGTGGTAAAGACATCTCCACGGAGATCACAGTCTGGGACGGCGTAGTGGTCTCACCGCTCGCGCCTGCTTACCAGGAGACTCCTGAACCTATGGATACTGATGATAAAGGTACAATCAACAGTGTTAGGGAGGCATTGCCCCCTCCGATCGATCCCCCGTACTATTCCTCTCCGATCGATCTCCTGTCCAATTCCTCTCCGATCGATCTTCCGTCCAATTCCTCTCCGATCGATCCCCCGTCCAATTCCTCTCCGATCGATCTCCCGTCCAATTCCTCTCCGATTGATCCCTCGTCCAATTCCTCTCCGACCGATCAATCGCTCGTCCAATTCCCCTCCAATCGATCCCCCGTCTAATTCAAACGGGGGTCAAAACTATGACAGCCTGAGTCGAGGTTCGAACCCCTAGCAGTGCCCTCGGATTAAAGTCGTATCTATCAGGCGCGAGTTGGTCTTCAACCGCTCCATAAGTCCTTCCTTTGGTTTGGAGTACCATCTGCACTCGCCCCCTATCGTCCGGTGAAGCTGTAAAGGCCAGCTGCGGCCAACAGCATTAGAGTAGTCCGAAAAAAAATATTATTTACTTAGTAAAGGAAAACCAAGGCCGACTATACATAAATAGAATCAATTATTAAGATATATTTTTTTATTTCAGATGACGATGGAGTACAAGATGGCGTGGCCGCCTGACATTACTAATATGAGTGGTCTCATTAACACAAGAATTATAGTATTATAATAAATTTATAAATTACTGCCATTGTGTTTATTTAATATTACATACCTGTAGACCTTTGTTTACCGACGTTTAATCGTTGGTGTGTTTAATCCTTGTTAATATCTATTCAAAATTTGAAAATAATTTATTCTTGTAGGACATTTTAGCCGCTTATGAACGGCAATTTTTTTTATATTATATTTTTTTCCCTAACATGTCTTATGGAAAGTGTATAATATGAATGTGGATGGATGTAAAGGGAGGGGACGCCCTAAGAAAAGATGGATGGATTGTGTGAAAGATGATATGAATAAAAGAAGAGTATGTTCAGATATGACGACCGATAGAGAGCAGTGGAAGAGAATGACATACTGCGCCGGCCCCAAATAATGGGATAAAGGCAAGGCAATGATGATGATTTTTTCCCTACCGTCCAGTTCAGTATATCAATTGAGAAGAACTGGCAAGAAACTCAGTTGAATTACTTATTATTTTTTTTAAAGCCAATTCATATATAGGTGTCTATGTCTAATATTAAATGAAAATCCCGTGCATGAACAACTATTGCAATGCGCGCTCGTCTTTCAAGTAATCGTTTAGTGAGTATTGGCTTTGCTCAGTAAATATGATTTACCACATGTTTTGAATTTATTTAAGGGTAATTCCTTTGGTATCTTATTTTAAATTTTTATACCCATTCCCATAAAAGACCTATTGCTTTTTCTAATAGATATTTACTAAACATTTCTATATTTTAATTTTGTTAATTTCTACATCGTTTTTTCTAATACCATCATAAAAATTGAATTATTTACTAATAGGAGGCCTTATGCGCTGGCTATTATATAAATAAAGTATTTATAGAAAAAAACAGATTACTTATAATTTTTTATTCCTCATATTACAGAAGGTACAGGAATTAAAAAATAAACTGTTTCAAAACTTTTTCACCATAAATTTCCTCTTACGTTTCGATAAAATGTCATTGCCCGGGTACAAACCGCAGACTCTAGTAGTTACTGAAAGTTTTTTAAGTTTCTCGCCCAATAATCGATCTTTCATAAAATCTTGAGTTAAACCGTCGCCATACACAAATTTTCGAGAAGTCGATGAAATGGCGGACACTTCACTCGTTTTATGCTTGCTTTGTTCAACGTAATTCGAATGGGATTTTCCATATATATCTATATGTTGGATTAAATTCAGAAACCCGCATTTTTTATATTTATTCATAATAGTTTCCTCATAATGTCCACAGTCATTTGAATTGAGTAATGTTGTAGTTCCTGTTTCTCTTGACTCGGTTAATTCACTCAATTTCATTTTGCTATTTCAACAATGCGACACCATATTCAAATAGAACTTAACGAAACCAATAAATTTTAAATGAAATATTGCCAAATTTTAAATTAGACGCCATAATATGTGTTACCATAATTCTACTAAATCCTACTAAAATAATTGATATTTATTAATTTTCAACAGACTGCCTCTAAAACAATGATTTTCTTTATTTACAAATCTATAATACTAAAAATAAATATAGGGTTATAGAAATAAATAGATAATTCCTGGATTAGTTTGTTATTGTCATAATAATTTGTATAACAAATCAAATACGTACACAATTAAAAAATTTAGAAGTACGGCATTTTGTAAACTTGCAACACTGTTCAATAAATCTTATTGGTCTGATCGAGCAGCCAATCGGAAAGCTTAAACTTCGCTCAATAATTTGATTGACTTGATTTGTCAGAAACGTAAAAACATCGATCTATTTTTAATTTTATGGTCTGTTAAAGAAAACTGGAATAAAAATATAGTGCGATATGTTGAACGGCCTTCGCGGTGTATCTCCTTCCTCGGAAACGATGTCGGAAAGCACTCTGGAAAGAAACCGCGCCGAAAAAGCATTATTAACGAGAACTGCAACGCAGACTCAAGTTTACAGTAAATCTGGCGTCAGGAATTATTCTGATAAAAACGGGAATGATGTTATTAAGTCGGTGCATAAAGGGAGAAAGACTTTCGCATTCTGGACCCTGGTTGTGTTACTGTTTGCACTCGCTATTGGAAATTTGATTTTAATATTTACAATTTTGGCCGTGCTGCGACTTGGTCAAGGTATTTTCTTATTTTTTTATTAAAGTTATGAACTCTAGTGGAGATTGATATTACTACTATTATATGAATGGTTGACAGAGGGAACAACGTTGAGGTCGTCTTTATATTATATCTTACACAAATTCTGTTGACACCTTTGCTAATTTACCATTACTAACAATCGCTTCTCTCATTTTTTAATATTTAATACTAGTGATCCGCTCCAGCTTCGTACTGGTGCAATTGTAGATATTTTTTAGTATTAATGACACATAAATGTGTATTAAAAAATAAAAATATGTTGAGAGATAATGACATAAATGTGTATAAAAGAACAAAAATATGTTGAGAGAAAATATTTGTTTGTTGTTATGAGTCATGTTTGCGAGAAGAAATAAATAAATCATATTATTATTATTATTATTGTTTGTAATGGATAAACACTGAAATCTAGTCTAGTCCAGACAAGTCTTAAACTAAGCGGAGCTAGTATTATGGTATACATGTACAACAATCCAGATAGAGGCTAAATGTAGGAGAAAAGAGTTGAAAATACATTTTATTTTCTGAATACATATATAATATATTATACACACCTAGTACAATATTGCATTAAGTCAAATTAAATTTTAAATTTAGTGCCATAGAGTGTATTGTCTAAAGTTTGTAATTTTTTAATTAATCCAATACTATAACTAGGTGTATATAAAAAAATAATTTAAAAATAAAAATATTTAATGCAGGGATTAAAGCTTGTGGATTCCAGCTATCACAAGTAAGGTTGTGTGCTGGTATGATAGACTATAGAGTTCTTAATTTAAATTACATGTATTTTAACATTTAAATTAAGAACACCAAACTAAATTAAAATTTAATTCAGAAATCAGTGTGCTAAACTGATAGACTAACTAGTTCTTAATTTAAATAATATGTCATTGTAACATTTAAATTAAGAATTCCATACTAGTATATATTTAATTCAGAAATAAGTCGGTATTCTAAACTGATAGGCTACCAAGTTCTTAATTTAAATAAATTAAATTTTAACATTTAAATTAAGAACTCCATACTAAATTAATATTTAATTAGGTATGGAGAGCATGGAGTTCCTTCCTGAACACAATGCAGTGAAGTTCTTCGGTGCTACAGACCTGGAGCATGTGTATAAGAGAGATGGACTACTGGAAAGCTATAAAGACACACCAATGTCCATATCAAGTGAAAATGGATCTGTTCTTTTCAATTTGCAGACCAGGTAAGGTAATCGTGAATTAATGTAAAAGTTTCAAATTCAAATTCAGTTTTTATTAATTGACACAAAATTACAATCAATCTAACAAAAATATTTTATTAAAAGTTTTAGTGTGTCCTTTAGGCACATAGGACTCCTCCAGCATTTTCCATGTGTTCCTATCTTTTGCCAATTGGAGCCACAGTGGACCGGCAATCTTTCTAAGGTCATCAGACCATCTTTTGTACTGTCTTCCTCTTTCTCATTTCATTTGATAACGGGGAATCCACTCAATTACAGTTTTTGTCCATCTCCTATTTCCCCTTAGTGTGTGACCAGTCCACTTCCACTTCAACCTTTTAATTTTATTTGTGACTTCGTCCCAACCTGTGATAACTCTTATGTCCGCCACTCTCTTTCTATCTCTCCTGTTATAACCCAACATACTTCTCTCCATACTCCTTTGGCATGTTACAAGTTTTTGCATATTTTCTTGGTCATTGCATGTTTGACATTCGTATGATACCAATACTGGTAAGATACAGGTATTAAAAAGTTTCTGGTTAGGTAAAATTTATATATATATATATATTATTGCACTTAAATAAATTTTTAAGTGTGTTAAATATTATAAATGCAAAAGTTTATAAGTATGGATGTGTCTTTCACACAAAAACTACTGAACGTATTTTGATGAAACTACAGCAATATAGCTTATGCATCAGTATAGCACAGGCTATAATTTTTATTGAAACGCAACGCAGGTGGAACCGCGAGTACAGCTAGTATTTAATACAAACAAACAACTTTTGACTTTATAACATTACTTGCAGGCTGTCTCGCTCTGACACGAAGCTATCAGTGAACACGTCGGGCGTGTTCGTGCGCGGTGTGAGTGGTCTCCAACTCCTGGACCCTGACTCGGGGGAGACGGTGTTCAGTACCAGCTCCTCACAGATGAACCTGCCCGACGGTGTCAATAATATACAAGCTAAAGTAAGTTATATGAAGATAATCATTGCAGCATTTGAATTTTCCCTAGGCCTAGGCCCCTCTTCCCCACTGGATACCCTGGGCATGTGCCCAGGGCCCCACGATGGATTGGGGCCCCCTAGTCTAGTCGAGTCCCTACTCCATTACCAAACCATAACCGATAGCTTTTTGTTAATTTTCTTATAAATGTCTATCAAGAACTTGTACCCCTCATCACATAACGCCTTTTTAAAATTATTTTTACCAGGTTGGTTTTGAAGGTAGGACCCCATATACATCTCTAAAGAGACATGTTAAAAAATGACTTAGATAGTTTTTTTTCTAACAAAATATTGCTTTATTACTATGGTCATAGGGTCATATATATACTAATGTGCCCAGGGCCTCTAATAGGTGAAAGACGGTCCAGTATGGGCATTAGGAGATAAGTCACATCCAGTGAGGTGCTACCTCATTTATTTTCTTCAAATGTTGGCTCTAGACAAGCCAGCAATTCATATTTGGGAGAATAGAGGAGACAAATACTTTTATTCGCACAATAAACTAAATTTATCTAATCTTTATAACACAAAATTCATTGAAGAGCACCTAAAATTCTTCTACAACACCTGACCAAGGAAAACATCACAAACATATGACTAACACTCAAAATTAAATATACACGTTCCAGCAATTATCAACGAAGAGAATAACATCCCCCGTCGACGAGGACCTGCTCCTCCGTTCAAATACATCAGCCCACCTTCGAGGAGCCGAAGGCACGCATATGGAGTCAAAGGAACTGCTATGGAAAGCCGACCAGGACATCTACCTGAAGTCCATCAACGGATCAGTGGTGCTGAGTGGAAAGGAAGGTGTTTTTATAGATGTACGATACTTGCCTATAGCCTTACCTCTGAATAAAACTGATAAATCCGCAACGGGACAGTTCAAAGTGTGTGTGTGCATGCCACAAGGGAAGTTATTCAGAATAGCAGTCCCGACTGGTCAGAAAGTGTCATGTTCTCATATAAACATGACGGCAGATTTAAATCCGTGTATATAATGTGTAGGTTTTAAATGTTAAGTCCGGCCGCTCAGAGTTTGCGTTTCTGACAGATCGGGATCGGTTGACGATGTAGAATAGAATAGAATAACATTTATTACATCACACATCTCAACACAATAAAAACGATGCCGACAGCTGCATATAAATTATTATATAAGATAAACGTAAATAAAAAACAATTCATTAAATTAGAGATGAAATCATTATATAAAAAAAATATATATAACTTTGAACTGACGTACAATTGACTGAGTTTTTTATAAATAAAAACATTATAAATTTAATAATTATTCCTACTTGCAATATACGTATTATTTTGGGCTAAAACTATTAACTACTAGCTGACCCGCGCAACGTCGTCTGCATTACACTTACTTAATTAATTTATATTTACATTTTTACATGATATTTACATTTCGCTAAATTTAAATCATATCTGTTTTAATTATACTCTGTTATTCTGATGTATAATCTATATTACTGTAAAGTTTAAACAAAATCCGTAGAGTAGTTTTTGCGTGAAAGAGTAACAAACAACCATACTTACAAACTTTCGCGTTTATAATATTTTGAAGGTTATTTGGTCACATTACAAAAACAAAAACATAACCTTAAAACAGCGCAGTTTGATGTGATTTGACTTTTTGCCGTAAATTGTACGTCAGTTCAAAGTTACATCGCCCATACGATCCCGACCTGTCTGAAACGCAAACTCTGAGCGGCTGCACTGTAGTAGTGACATTTAATTAGTAAAGAGCCAAAGGTTGGTCATAGTTCTTTCCAGGAAGTCCGAGTTTTCATTACCAGAAACACCAATATGTGATGGTATCCATATCAAATCAAAATATCTTTATTCATGTAGGTCTATTACAGACTCTTATGATATGTCAAATCTACCGTCAGTTCGGAATGATTTCGAAATGAGACGAACTGACGAGAAACTCAGCTCGTATTTCAAATAAATGTTGTACATTTTACAATAATACAGATTCATTTTTAAATTCAAATTTGGGTGAATAGAGTGACCTTCATCATATGCTATTGCAATTATGTCAAAAGCAAATAGTGTAATCCGTGTTCGTAACCCGAACAGACCAGTCTCAACAAGCAGAACCCGTTCACGAGTATGACATAATATAATAATATAAACCGCCAATGAGAACTCATATTATAGTTCTTTAATGACATCTATGATATAATTGGTTTTATAATGTAGTTTGTCACTTTGAAGATGTATATAAGTAATAATAATTATTATATTTGTTACAAATGTTAATAAGTAACGCAAGTAAAGTTCAATATGTTGTATTTATTTAAATGTTTGTTCAGGGGCGGATCGTGAATTTGTGGGGCCCTGGACTTAGTCTACTTAGGGACCTATCTAATTATATTACTCAACTAAAGAAATACACCGACCAAAAACAAGCGACCAGAAATTCCCCGTTGCTTTTGTTAGACGCGCACTTTCATGGGTTGATTGATCTTAGGGTTGACAGGCTTATGTTAGGTTTTTTAACATTCTAGATATTTTTTTATATTCTAAACATCGCCTTGGGGCCCTGGGCTGTAGCCCAAAAGGCCGTTAAGTAGATCCGCCCCTGTGTTTGTTAGACGTTTGATATTTTTATTTAAACAAGTTTATTATCTAGTTTTAAATTTAGAAAATATTACAATAATAAGACAATTATTTTATTGAAATACAAGCCTGTTGTTTTATTTTGAATTCTTGTTGAATACGTGGACTGTTTGACGACCTTGGTGGTTAGCGGTTTGACATACCGCTTTACTTCCGATAGTAGCGGATTCGATTCCTCGCACGATGCAAATACGAGTATGATTATTTTGTTTGTATTGGTCTGAGTATTTTCTATGGATATTTTATAGTAGCTATAGCCATGGTTTCTTCCATGTGTAATTTCTAGCCTATGTTATTCTGATGTATAGCTTATACATCATATTATTGTAGTTAAAATAAAACCCATTCAGTAGTTTTTACGTGAAAGAGTAACAAAGATCCTTTCAAGATTTGACCATAACAGTCCTACCTACTGACTTTCAAAATAGAACCACCATATTGTGTGGACAGTTCAGTTCGGTTCAAACGCTCGAAGTGTGAAGTACCTACATATAACTGAAAGAAGTTAATAATCTTTGTGTATCGTTGCTGCTTCCGCACGTAACAGGTGTGTGCTCTCCAAGAGATATTTCAATTACTCTTGAGTGGGCTACATCCACATAAGATGTGTTAGTTGGTGCCTCCTCTTCATATCAAAAGAATATTTACAGTGGGCTAATTATCTAAATCGATAGCAAAGATTTTCGTATGTAACGTAGTGAAAATGATGTCAACTGTCTATAATGCGATTATATTGACGCCATTTGACGCTGTCAACTAGCATTGCAACGTAAACGCAACTTTACATATCGATAAAAATATTTCTATCGAATGTCGATTTAGTAACCTCGCTGTAATGTCACGGAATCGCTATTTTGACAAAATAGCGATTCCGTGAGTATAAGAAACAATTTAGAAGGTGTTTATTTTGGTTACAATCTTTAAAATATTAACATCAGCAGCATTATATATCTTGTTTTGATAATTTTCAGTATTACATATATTTTTATTATAGTAAATATTACGTAGAAAATCGTGAAAGAATTTAAAATTTATTAAAGTGGGAAAATTGTCACGACTCACTACACGACAGCAGTGTTGCCAATTCGATATTTCATAATCAGCCCACAGGTCACAGGTAATAAAAAAAATACAATCTTTCACTTTTTCTAGTAGCTGCCAAAATAACTTTATTAATACAGTTTATTTAATATATATATACAAATATTAATTATTTAAAAAAAACTTAGAATCACTACACTCCTTTCTACAACCGATGTATGGACATTAACCGATTACGAAGTACACAACCTTCATATTATATATCATATACTAGCATCATGCCGCGGCGTTGCCTGTGAAACAAGCCCATGTATCTCTCTGACACTATACGTGTCCTATAGGTGAAGGAATCTTTGATCTACTCAAGACATTTTTGATTTTTTGCATTAGAAACAAACATAACGGGCTCGGTTATCTAGCGGTTTAGCACACCGCTTGCTTCCGATGATCGCGGGTTCGAATCCTCGCACGGTACAATAATTTTTATTCATGAGTATGACTGTTTGTATCGGTATGGGTATTTTCTATATATATTATGTATGTATTTACAAAAAAATGTATTTATATCAGGTGTCTAGTACTCATAACACAAGCTTTGCTTACCGTGGTACTAGATGGCGCTGTGTTAATTGTCCAGGAATATAATTATTATATAAAAAATCTAATCATTTCCTTTAATACTATTAGTACAGACAAAACTATGCTGGATTTACACCTTTGGCAGTTATCACATCGCTACATAATCTTGATAATTTATAAAACTTACTAAAGCCACACTAAAAGTCATATCAATAGCTTAAGCAAGCAAGAAAAACATTGAAAACTACTTCTAACCGAAGGAAAAAACATTCAACATTTTTCTAAATGTAAGAAAAACAGTTAAAAGTATTTGTGGTTTCGAGAAAAACATTATAAACTGATTTTAAACATAAGAAAATTGTTTAAAATTCAACTAAATGCAAGAAAAAACTATATAAGCTACTTTTAAATGCTGAATATATGTAATGCAGGATATATCGTCGATTAAATAGAAAAATGACATTTTTCAAAATTATATAGAATTACCTCCTTTCGATATAAGTCAATTAAATTAACCACGCCGTCTTAATCATTATCTAAATACTTTTAAAAATGATATATTCAGTCATTATTCTGCGTAAATTTAAAACTTTTAAAGGAAACAATAATTTAAATAAATTTAAAAACTTTAAATGATTGCTATAAATCTTGTAATAAATGTACATTTTGAATACTGCCATTTTTCTATTTAACCGACGATATGTTATATTTATCTGTGACAGTAATCCAGATGAATTATAAATTTACAATTAACTGTTTAAATATTAGTAAATATGAATTTAATTATTACATATGAACGTAAGTAACTTAAAAACCATTTTGCACGTCTGTATGCAGGATGGACATATATATATATATATATATACATCGCTGATGAAATGCCAAAGGACCACAACGCAAAAAAAACTGACATTATTTTTTTTCAAAAATAGTATCTAAATCGTTATAATTTATACGTTATTTTTTTTTTATATTAAAAAAAGACACCCATGATTCTAGAACTATCACATAGATATTCCGATCGATCCCCCGTCCAATTCAAACGGGGATCAAAATTACGACGGCCTGAGCCGAGGTTAGAACCCCTAGTGGTGCCCTCAGACTAAAGTCGTATCCGTCAGGCAGGAGTTGGCCTTCAGCCGCTCCATAAGTCTTTCCGCCGGTTTGGAGTGCCATCTGCACTCGCCCCCTAACGTCCGGTGAAGCTGTAAAGGCCAGCTGCGGCCAACAGCATTAGAGTAGTCCGAAAAAAAAAAGAAAAAAATAGAGTCGTAAAAAAAGTAAAAATATCAATGAAATGTGAAAATTTTGATGAGCTCTCCTGTAAAACATTAAACTCTTGTTAAACATTAGTATTCTGCACTTCTTCTCTATATAAACTATAAGTGTGTGAAATTTCATACTACTTCATCTGTGCAATTTCATATAAAGAGGTACAACATTTCTACAACATTTAAAAAGTAAAAATATCACAGTGAAATTTTTGATGAGCTCTCCTGTAATTTACCGTTTGTGTCATGTGGCCGTTAGGCATTTAATCAGCGACATGTACTGTACATAATATTCAGGTACTACTCTGCTCTTATCACTACGACTGATTTAATCTTATTGTATATTTATATTTGACCCTAATAAATTAGTGCTGGTTGGTAGTTTGTATTCACGTTTCGACTTATAAAATGTGAACTTACAAGGATTATTTAAAAGAGCAACACACAAGTTTCTTGCTTATTCGTCTTGTGATGAGACAGCTTTCCGAATAAAAAAAATTTGTTGACTATTCAAAAGTGCTTAAATTAAGTTTATTTCAATAAATGATTTTCTATTCTATTCTATTAAATACTGTAAAACCTATATTTAGCGCTTTATTCTGCAAACATATAAATGAAAAATTGTTAAATATATACTCCATGAGAAAACTGGTTTAAAATATTGTAAAGATTTCCATCGTGTCATTATATACATACAAATACACATACGAGTTTAAAATCGATAAAGTGATGTTTTTTTTCATATTATACAATAATTATTGCTATAGTTATATTTAATTGTATAACATAATATATAATATAAATAATTCTATTATTTTACTCATATACAATAATAAATTGAGAACAATATTTCAATTAAAGTGTAGTCTATAAAGAACACACTAATAATTGTCAGACTGTTCGAGCATTGCATCTCTTAAACTTATTTTCAGGTAAGGTCTTAAATGCTGACGTGTACACAGAAGCCTTGCCTTCTATCTATACATATAAATAAAATTGGAGTGTCTGTTTGTAATATAGAAATAACCGTACATGCATAAGAATAAATACGGTACATACACCAAAATAACATTTTTACTATTTTTGTTTGTATGTCTGTTTGTTCCGGCTAATCTCTGGAATGGCTGGAACGATTTTGACGGGACGTTTATTGTCAGGTAGCTGATGTAATAAGGAGTAACTTAGGCTACTTTTATTTTAGAAAAATAATGTTGCAAAATTCCACGCGTAAGAAGTCGCGGGTACAGCTAGTAATAAATAAAATTAGAATGTCCCTATGTTTATATGTATAGTAGTTTATATGTGTAGTGTAATAGTTTCAAATGTGTTGGAATTAGCTGAAAGTTTATATTGTATAAATTGAATAAATAAATAACTATGGTCCTTCGAGCCGGATTATTTAGGAACTGATTCTACTTTAAACAAGGCCTATTACTGATACATCGCTCTTACTACAAAAGTATTGACATTATTATTACCTCGGTGGTCTGGCGGTGTAACATCGCCTTTCTGATGGTCGCGGGTTCGGAGCAATCATTTGTGTTCGCTAGTATAATATTTTTCAAGTATTTGATAAAATTTTATGTACAAACAAATTTGCGCTTTATGCTATATTACTTTTGGGTTACTTAACGGTTGTCCATACATCGCTATACTGTTACTTGTATTCATGAGTACTCGTGAGTACAAGATTTTTTAAAACTGTCAAGTATTTGATCATTCGTTATGAACAATCAAATTTGCACTTTATGCTATATTACTTTTGGATTACTTAACGGTTGTCCATACATCGTTTACTGTCCGTTTGTCACTACACCGCTCCGGTGTTACTGTCAGCACTCACTATCTGATACGTGATCAGGTATTCCGGATACGCCTGGAAAAATAGGTAATATTAGTGGCTGATATAATTTGTTAATCTAATAACTATATGTTTAATTGTAGCTGTTACATAATTAAAGGACAAACGAAGTCTGTTTTTGGGTAAAATATAGTCAGTGTATTTAAGGTATATATGTAAAAATAATATATTTATTAATTTTTACACAATATCATTCATTTATAGGCCGTAACATCTGTTGTTCTACGGAATAGGTATTTCGTGGATGGAAGGAAATAACATGTGTAACACAGGGGTGTTCCACATGTTATTTTCTACGACAATGGTTGCTTCAATTACACAATTTTTAATACTCTATATATATATATATATAATTATATATAATACAATCGATAAAATACGTTAAGGACTAAGAGGGAGTTACTTTTGTGTGAGTGAGTTAATTTTGACTATTGACAAACTTAAAATGATTCCTTATATATATATAATGATTAATGATGATTTAGTATGTCAATAGGGGCTTAAAATGATTTATCACAATTATATATAAAATGATTCCTTATATATATATATATATATATATATATATATATATAATGATTAATGATGATTTAGTATGTCACGTCATACTAGGAAAGGGAGGAGTATGTTACAAATGTGACCAGGTGTGACAAAACGGAGTGGGAAGGGTTGATGATAATGGAATTATGCATCCGTCGGCGTAACATTTTACGCTGGCGGGACACCTGAGGGATAAGATGAGCATGAGGTCAAGTCAGTTAGCCCATCGTGACAAATCCACGAAATTTCTTAAGTTTTGGTTAAATGTAAATACAGTTTAAGGGGTTAAAAAAAGATCCTAATATTGATGTGATTGTGAGTGCGTGTGTGCGGTGGCGGGTACCTGCTCTCCGCGGTAGACGACGTACTCCGGGAAGCAGAGTCCGCCGGAGGAGGGTCGGCCGGCGACGGCGTGGTGTCCGGGCGGGGCGTGCGCCATCTTGGCCGCGCTCACCAGCTGGAACGCGCGCCCCAGCGTCACCCGGCACAGCAGCATCTGTCTGCAACCACACAACATCTTATAGAATAGAATAGAATAGAAAATCATTTATTCAAATAAACCTACATTGAAGCACTTTTGAATAGTCATTACATTTTTTAATCTACCGCTCGTTCGGAAAGCTGTCTCATCACAAGAAGAACGAGCAAGAAACTTGCGTGTTGCTCTTTTAAATAATTTTATTATTACTTTACATTTTTAAGTTTAAGTTTGTGAATACAAACCACCAATTAGCACTAATTCTATTAAATACTCAAATAGAAAAAATATTGAATATATAACCAACTGGTTAAACAATTAATAAGAGGAAATCAGTCATAGTGATTAGAGCAGACCAGTCCCTACAAGCAGCACCCGTTCACGAGTATGACGGATGAGCCAGCCATCACTGCGCTCGACCATATTTTAGGAAGCCCAATGACCCGGCCCACCACGCCGCCACAAGTCTGGACATTTTAGTGAGCATGACTACTCAAAACACTAGACCACGTCAAAGCTACTTACAATTGCCATCTGATAGTTATAGTATTCACATTTTACATAAGAATGCATGCGGCAATCAATACAAAAACCATCATATTTCTAAAATCAATCAATTAAATCAGGAAAGCAATGAGAAAATTAAATTATAACGTTGTATGCTAATAAACTAGTTATTTACTTTTTATGTTGTCGTCTATGAATTCGTCTATCCTGTAATAATCTTAATCCTTACTAATCGTATAAATGTCACAGCACGGATGTTTATTTGTTTATTTATTTATTCATTTGCATTCCAGTATTACAATAATGGTTGACATGATATTATTATAAGAGCACTATGGACCGTGATGGGCGCAGCAAGCTACAATGAGATACAGTGTCGTTAACAGAATATAATTATTTTATATATTACTAGCTGTCCCGGCTAACGTTGTTTTGCATTAATATAAAATAAAAAATTAGGGGTGGACTACCCCTAACATTTAGGGGGATGAAAAATAGATGTTGGCCGATTCTCAGACCTACTCAATACGCTCACAAAATTTCATGAGAATCGGTCAAGCCGTTTCGGAGGAGTATGGGAACGAAAACTGTGACACGAGAATTTTATATATAAGATTTTTCTGATCGATCTATAATTTATCTATCAAATATTCGTTGACATTATAATAACATTTTTTTACTAGTAATTTTTTTAGGTTATGTATAAATATTTTATCTATTTTATATTTATTATTGTTTGTGACGCTTTCACGTAAAAACTACTGAACTGATCCTCATGAAATTTTGTACAAGTTCTTGGATGTATTAGAATGGTCATAGGATACTTCTCATTAAAAAAAACAACATTTTGCTATTTCAGCAGCATCTAGCAGGCGGTAATGAAGTTATGTGAGCGAAGCCGCGGGTAAAAGCTAGTAATATTATAAACGCGAAAGTTTGTAAGTACGGATGTTTGTTACGGATGTAAATTTGTAAGGTAAAGGTAAACACATGATTTGACGTCCCTAAGGTAATGGTAAGGACGTAATTACCTGTGGCACACGTAGCAGCTGCGATCCTTGTGCGTCGGACAGCCGGAGCCGCCGCCGAATCCGTACACGTACTGGTTGCTCTTAGAAGAGTGCTCCGCGAAGTATATCCCCGCGCCAAACATACCGCCTGCGAACATCAGTACAATAATAATAACCATAGACAATTTTTTTCTCATAGTTGTTCTTCTTTTCAATGATGAAATAGGCAAAGATACTTAAACTGTACAGCCTAGTCTACTTTTAAATTTAAATATTAACCATAGACAATTCATACAGCCTCAAGCTAAACACAGCTTCTGTTGTTATTACTAGACAACTGATTTTTTCAGCCTAATTTTTTTTTCTATTATTCTATTAATACAATCTTAACGTACATAGAAAATGCAGACCTGTATAATAGTCCCTACTAGCTTAGTTAGTGTTAGTACCGGCGGTTCCTTACTAATATTATATATGCGAACGTAATTCTGTCTGTCTGTCTCGCTTTCACGCCAAAACTACTGCACCGATGTCAAGGAAATTTGGTACACAGATAGTCTAGAACCTGAGAAGGGATGTAGGCTACTTTGTAATGCGATAAAATAATTGTTTGCGCCACAACTAGTTTAAATGCACATCTCGTGTAATAGACAAGGACAGACATACTCACGATCTAGGAAAAAAGTACGCCCGCGCCATCGATGGAAAGAAAGATGGCGCTTCTTCTTCGTTTTCCGCTCGTGTCTTTTCGCACATAATTACGTTTTATAATAATTGAATCACTACGATTTAATAAACTATTGAATTGTCAAGGTGTATATAGATAGTGTGCAATATTCAAGGTGTATATACACTAATTTCCGCCGCGCGTGTTGTGTGTGAGATCGGGACATCGATCATCAACATCGTCGAACATCGATACCTGCCCCAAGACGCCATAGCAGAAAGCCAGGTACGCGTAACTCCTTACTTTGCCCGTGATCTGTGACGACAGTCTTATCGAAGGAATATATCTCTCGGGATACATATCCCTAGGGAACCGCTTTAACATTTTGTGGCCCGTTGCGAACCGGATATTTTGCTATTTTTAAATTGAGTTACATTTAATAACGTAAAAATTTTTATTTATCGTATTATTATTAAGAAACCGCTTTCAAAATTGATAATATAAAATCCGCTTATTTAGTCTTATATTACTTATTTGTTTCTCAGACATACCCGCGTAGCCATATAGGATTGCCTTGTTATTTCTTTATATTATACCGCAACCAAGCACCTATATGTGTAATAGTTTATTATTTATAAACATATTTATTATATACCGCTATAGAATACCATATGATATCCCGCATTCCTCTGTATTATCTCTTTAGATAATAAATATTTATATCACCGCATTTATAGTATAGTCTTAAAATTGTATCCTATAACTATATTATACATATTTTACTTGTACATCCCATAATATACAAATATAAATGTCTATATAAAATTCCATTATATTTTATATAGTAATCTACGCAACACTTAACCGTGTTCTCGCTACATACCTAATATAATTTTTATTTTCGTTACTGTCCGCTTACGCTGTCTATTGACAGGTCACTGTATAATTACCTATAGTTATATTGCGTTAAATCATTAGATATGTCACGTAAAGATAAAGATGCGCCTACCTTTTCACCTAGTCGTCAACTTATTATGTTAGAAGCTAAACGTAATGCTTTATTTCAACGAATACAAAGTATTTAATAAGTGAAGTTAAATTATTAAAAAAGACGTATGTTTCTTAGTTCATGTATAACCATCGATGACGTTCGTAATAAGTTTCAAGATGTACTTGATGAATATAATAGTAGGATGCTTGATGAGAATGTTCTGCCGTACCTAATTTTCATGTATATGACTCATTTGAAGATTTGTTTTGTTCAATTAAACAGACATTTTCTGTCTTTCACCCACGGGTGGGAATTCAACCTGTATCTAGGCCCACTCCCCCCTGGAATTAGTCTCCTTCAGCGGCAATTATCAAGATTGGAATTTATTTTACGCTAGTTACAAATCTACTGTCCATGACAACTTCTCACTTACAAACTCAGAAAAACTGTATTATTTACTGGGTAAGTTATCACCCAAAGTACAATCGGTATTTGCAGGTATTACACCCTGCGCCGAAAACTATGAAATTATATTTAATTCTCTGCTTGATAAGTATCAAGATATTCACGTTCTCGGTTCTAATTACTTAGACCAGATTTTAAATCTTAAATTAGGCAAAATGCCTTCCGCCGCAAGTTTTCAATTATTTATAGATAAGTATGTCACCGCCGCTATGTCATTAAAGGGCTTAGGTATAAAACAATTATCTGATTTCATTTTATTATATATTGCAAAACGTAAATTCGATTCAGAAACATTACGCGCGTTCGAATTACACTCTTCTATAACAAAATCACGTGATTTTGACGGATTTATTAATTTTATAAAAACACAATGCCGCATATATGAAAATACACAACCCGCGCCCGCCACCAGTACAGAGTCAAATAAATACCGCCCGACTACAAATAAATACCGCCCGCCTGCTAAGTACGGACCCGCAGTCTTATGTTTCAACTAAAATGTTCACTTTGTAATAGTAATATGCATGATCATTTTTATAAATGTAGTGCATTCGAAAAATTGTCACCTCTCGATCGTTATAAACATATTAAAGCTAACAATTCATGCGTAAATTGTTTAAGTACCAAGCATAAGTCAGGTGTTTGTACATCAAAATCTTCGTGTCGTGCATGTCAAAAGCGCCATCATTCTTTGCTACATTTTGTTACGGATCGGGGCTCGCTGCCCGCGCGCGATGCGCCCGCGCCCCGTAGTAGCATGGCCTCACCCCCGCTCCCGTCACACAGTGGCGAGGCCGTGGCCAAGCAGAGTGGTGTGTCACTTTGCGCGCTCAGTAACAAAACTGTGCTACTAGCAACTGCACGCGTTATTGTGTATGACGCATTAGGTAAACAACACTTAGACATGTTTATTGGACAGTGCGTCCCAAAGTAATTTTATTACTGATGAATGTTGTGACCGCTTAGGTTTATTAAATGAATTAAAATATTCATCTACGATGGTAAAGGGTATTGGTGGCTCACAAAAAAACGTTAAGAAGGTGTAGAATTTAATATATTTTCTCGTTTTAATTTTAATGTTCGCTTTAATATTTCCGCGCTTGTTGTTGACCGTATTACGGACAGTTTGCCTTCCGTTCCTGTCAATACCGCCGCATTTTCACACATTAAAAACCTACCGCTGGCAGACGGCGAGTTTGCCATTCCTAGTAATATAGACGTACTTATAGGTAGTTCTATATTCCCGCACTTGCTATTGCCGGGTATTGTGCATAGCAAGCATCGTAATATTCCGCCTGCGATACAAACCGTATTAGGGTTTGTAATCATGGGTTCCGTATTTTAATTCCGCATCGCCTAATTCCGCATTATTAAATACCGCATATAAACGTCATGTTGTTCCGTGATTCATGATCGTATGGACACTCTCTTCCAAAGTTTTTGGGAATTGAGGAGATATCCGCGCCGCCCGCTCAGAGTGCAGATGATTAGTAAACATTATTTTCGCGCCACCACTACTCGTGATGATAGTGGTAGATATATCGTATCCCTGCCGTTTCGAGAGGACGTGTTCTCCTTAAAAGACTCTTTCGCTGCCGCACATAGACGTTATTTATGTCTAGAACGTAAGTTGGTAAACCTCATTTTCGTTTTTCTTATAACGAAGTAATTCGCGCATATATTGATAAGGGCTATTTAAGTCCAGTTAAATCGCATAAAGACAAATCACATATACCCTCGTACTCGTACTACATTCCACATCACGGATGCTAAGAGGATAAGGTCACCACTAAATTGCGCGTGGTTTTAATGCCAGTTGTAAAACGACATCTGGTCGTTCGTTAAATGATATATTGCATAGTGGTACCAACCTACAGGGTGATTTATTTAGTATTTTAATTAACTTTAATTTTTAAAGTTTGTATTTCCGCCGACTGTTTTCAAATGTTTCATCAAATGTAACCGCTTCAGCACGATGATCCTGTGACTGAATATGAATTTAATCGTGTATGCTTCGGACTGAGGTCGAGTCCATTTCTCGCGCTCCGCGTTGTTCAACAACTAGTTGAAGATGAAGGGGATAAATTCCCTGCTGCTGCCGCTGCTGCTTCGTCTGCACTATATATGGATGATATCGTATCTTCTGTTATGACAGATGAACAGGCTATTACCATTAGCAACGAACTTATTGCATTTTTTAAAATGGCACAGTTTGATCTCGTAAAGTGGACGATCCCGCGACGTGCTTGCTCACATCCCGGATACACACAAAACCCTTTACAAATCATTCGATAATTCCACCCCGCACAAGATCTTATCTATTTTGGGATAACTCTAATGATTCTTTTAAGTTCAAGTTAATCACGACTTATCGAATTAAGACATTCCCGAACAACGGACTGTTATACACACATTAATTTCAAATACCTCTGAATCACTACTTTACGCGCTATCTCAACGCTTTTCTGTATATTCTAAATTATTACGGACTATTGTATATATATATAAATTTATTAAACGCCTTCCTCGTAATACCGTTATTACGAGTGAAGACTTAGATTTTGCTGAAATAAAGTTAATCCGCGCCGTGCAAGAAGTATATTTTGCACATGAGTTTAATAATTTAAAAAATAATAAATATTGTTCTTCCGCTTTAAACAAGCTCCGACCATTTATAGACAAGGACGATGTCATCCGCGTCGGTGGTCGCTTGTCAAGTTCCGCTGAGGATTACTGCGCTAAGTATCCTCTACTTTTTCGCGCCTCGATCATGTTATCGATATTCTTATCGACTTTTATCATAAGAAGCATCTTCATGCAGGACCAGAGTTACTTATGTCCTTACTCAGGCAGAAGTACTGGATCCTGTCCGCTCGCCGCTTAATACGTTATCGCATTCATAAATGTAACGCTTGTTTTAAAATAAAACCGCGCCCTACGTTTCCACTCATGGCCGATCTACCGAGCCACCGCGTCACTCAAGTTGATAAGGCATTTACGCATGTAGGCTGTGACTATGCCGGTCCCTTACAGTACACACCTATTCGTGGTCGGGGGGTTAAAGGCCGCAAAGCATGGCTATGTATTTTCACTTGTCTGACAACCCGTGCTACTCATATTGAAGTTGCTACTGATTTAAGCACGGTTAGTTTCTTATCCGCACTTAAACGATTCTCATCTCGCCGAGGCCCGATAAACTGTTTATATACGGACAATGGAACATGTTTCGTGGGTGCTCGCAAGTATCTTCGCGATTTATATAAGTTTCTTGATGAATATCGCCCGCATTTAGAATTAGAACTTTCAGAAAATCGCATTAGTATGAAATTTATTCCTCCCGCTGCTCCCCACTTCGGTGGAAGTTGGGAAAGCATCGTAAAAATAGTTAAAAATAATTTATTTAAGGTGATAGGATCACAAATTCTCTCTTATGAGGAACTTATAACAGTGCTTTCTCAGGTTGAGGCACTTATTAATTCGCGTCCACTCACAGCTAGAAGTAGTGACCCCGCTGAGCCGTCTGCTCTTACGCCGGCTCATTTTTTAAATACTGTCCCTCTTTCATCCATTCCTGCGCCAGAAGCTACGTACACGCACGATTTAAATCAACGCCATTCCCTTCTGGATAGCATTGTACAGTCTTTCTGGCGCCGGTGGCGAATGGAGTATCTGCATCAATTGCAGACACGCGCTAAATGGAATCTTCCATCAGTTCCCATTAAGGAGGGTACTGTTGTATATTTTAGTAATAGATAACGCACCGCCCTTTTCATGGCCATTAGCTGTCGTTGAAAAGGTACATCCTTCCAAAGACGGAACTACGCGAGTGGTCACTTTAAACTTCAAAGGGTAGCTACCTTCGCCCGGTAGTTCGTTTGTGCCCATTGCCGCATCAATAGTTATATATTTAATATAAGTAAAATTTAGATTTAGCTTAGTTATATATAACTTTCATTCATATATCGTATTCACATAACCTCAGATAACTTCCCGCTTATGATTAATCTTATACGCATTAATATACCGCTCATTTTATTTATATATATCTTCCGCATACTGCTATTCATTTCCCAGTGGTATATATATGTATATTTTTTTTAAAGGCAACCCTTTAAGGCCGGGGGAATGTTTGCGCCACAACTAGTTTAAATGCACATCTCGTGTAATAGACAAGGACAGACATACTCACGATCTAGGGCCGAAAGGAGCCGAGTACGCCCGCGCCATCGATGGAAAGAAAGATGGCGCTTCTTCTTCGTTTTCCCGCTCGTGTCTGAGAAACGCCGCTCGCACATAATTACGTTTTATAATAATTGAATCACTACGATTTAATAAACTATTGAATTGTCAAGGTGTATATAGATAGTGTGCAATATTCAAGGTGTATATACACTAATTTCCGCCGCGCGTGTTGTGTGTGTGATCAGTTCATCGATCATCATCGTCGTCGATCATCGATTCCTGCACCAAGACGCCATAGCAGAAAGCCAGGTACGCTCGTAACTCCTTACTTTGCCCGTGATCTGTGACGACAGTCTTATCGAAGGAATATATCTCTCGGGATACATATCCCTAGGGAACCGCTTTAACAATAATAATAATAACATAAATGGGAGGTGAACGTTTTGTATGGAAAATCGTGATTTTTAAGCTAGAACGACGAAACTTTTTTCATTGCCTTTTTTATGTATAAAAAAAGGCAATGAAAAAAGTTTTTTCGTCGTCACGATTTTCCATACAAAACGTTCACCTCCCATTTCAACCCCTACACTGAATATTTTCGATATTCAATAATCTAACTTAAAAAAGGCAATATAATAATAAGGTATGGATGTTAGCGACAGTTACTATGAACATCTCGATTGCAATCAGTGTAATTGGTGAAATTATTAAAAAAATAGTAAAAAGCCAACGACACGCGGTGTTCCCAGGCGGTCACCCATCCAAGTACTGACCGCGCCCGATGTTGCTTAACTTCGGTGATCGGACGAGAACCGGTGTATTCAACGTGGTATGGACGTTGGCGACAGTTCTTATGAACATCTCGATTGCGATCAGTGTAAATGGTGAAATTATTAAAAAATAGTAAAAAGCCAACGACACGCGGTGTTCCCAGGCGGTCACCCATCCAAGTACTGACCGCGCCCGATGTTGCTTAACTTCGGTGATCGGACGAGAACCGGTGTATTCAACGTGGTATGGACGTTGGCGACAGTTCCTATGAACATCTCGATTGCGATCAGTCTAATTGCTGATATTATTAAAAAATAGTAAAAAGCCAACGACACGCGGTGTTCCCAGGCGGTCACCCATCCAAGTACTGACCGCGCCCGATGTTGCTTAACTTCGGTGATCGGACGAGAACCGGTGTATTCAACGTGGTATGGACGTTGGCGGCAGTTCTTATGAACATTTCGATTGCGATCAGTGTAAATGGTGAAATTATTAAAAAATAGTAAAAAGCCAACGACACGCGGTGTTCCCAGGCGGTCACCCATCCAAGTACTGACCGCGCCCGATGTTGCTTAACTTCGGTGATCGGACGAGAACCGGTGTATTCAACGTGGTATGGACGTTGGCAACAGTTCTTATGAACATCTCGATTGCAATCAGTAATGTAAATAAAATAGACCCTCAACTAATGATAAAATGTATATTAAAGAAAATTATAGAAATCGATACTAGAAAATATTATTACAATTATAGTTGTATGTGGCGAGTGACAGATGAAGTGAGAATATTTTATAGGTGAAATATGGAACGTGCCTGTCTGGTCTGTAAGCGGCCAGTTGTCATGAAAAGAGGTAGTGATGTGAAATGATTATAATACTATAATACTATTCATCTAAGACACAGGCACGGCCTAGTTTAGATGCTAGTGGCACTAATAAATTTAAACCAATGATTTGTCTTACATGATATTCTAACATAATAATTATAGCTAATCTCGTTTCACGTACTTGTATAGGATTGTGTCTATTGTAGTCTTGGGATAGATACAATAATACTTTATAATAATGTCCGCTAAGTACCATTTTTACATCCATCTATTATAAAACAAATTTTGTACTATTTACTTGTCTTTGTGCTAACTGATGAATTCTCCATAGTTTTGTGTTGTGAAAACCTTGTGAAGTATAGATACATAATGCGTAAATAAATTCTATATAACATCCGTTTAAAAACCACCTATGATAACTCAATATTAACATTTGCTGCAGGTGCCCACATAAAAAGCCTATGTAACGTGAATTCGTGTTAATATTGTAAATAAGTAGGTACTTAGTAAACTGTTGCGTTCTGAATCATGAGTAGTATTATATTAAGATGCACTTGTTCATTACCAACTACACATATGTATATAGTTTTATATAAAAGTGTATTTATTTTTATTTTACAAATGTAAGAATGTTATGTGATGCAAATTTTTGTGATATTAATAATAAATAATAATAGGTAGATAGACCCAAAAAAAAAAAATACAAATATATACAGTACACCATAGACACATGACACAGCTAATGTTATATAATATAAATAAACACTAGATAAAATAAAGCAAATATCACAAACAGACTCTGACGTACCGATGTAGGCGTGCCGCTCGTCGAAGCCCTTCTGTACGATGGCGTTGATGAAGGGCGAGCCGTGGAATAGCATACGCTCGTTGGCCGACCCGGCCTCCTCGGCCACCTCGCGCCGCCGGTGCTGGTAGCGCTCCCACAGACGACCGTTCACTATCTTCTGTATCTGTGGTGGCAAATAATTAAAAAATAAATAAATAAACATTTTTATTTCTTGCCTATTACAAAGTTATGGTGGTAGTAAATTAGAAATATACATTTGTCTATATTTGTTAGTTTTTACATTCAAATTTAAAAATCATTTAATCATAGAGGATGTTTTAACCGCTTATGAACGTTAAATTTTTTATATAATATTTAGCCTACCGTCCAATTCTGTATATAGATTAAATTGAGAAGAACTGGCAAGAAACTCAATTGAATTTCTTATTATAATTATTTTTATAATTATTCAAGTTTTTTCATTATTATTATTATTTAACTGTATGTATTTCTTATTAGTGGCAAATAAAAAAACATAATAGGCTGAGCGCGGAGTCCTTTTTAGCAATTATTTTATAGTAGCGTATGGGTTTTCAATTATTTTATTACGTTGGTTTCATTAACCTATTCGTTCAGAAATGCCATTGCTGGTTGTGTGTAGCAAAAAGTTTCTAAAAAACGCACGGTAGAGGACCGCCATTCATACAGATGATCAGGATAGTATTTTAGATGATCGAGGTCATCGTCCTCGCCAGGGAGGACGGTGTCGTGTGTTCTGCTCGACGTCGCTACGTACCCTGACGACGTGGTAGTGCGTAAACACTCCGCCCTGGTGTTCGCGATGCGCGCGTACAGATGCTTGCATCTCCCTCTCGAGTATCACGTACTCGCTCTCTCCTGAACACTCGCCTTCACCACCCGGCGTCACTTCCACCAGCGTAGTGCCGCCATACCACTCTGAAACGATACACAAATATATATATACGCAAAAAGTAATCGCCCCTCCAATCGACTCCTCGTCCAATTAAAACGAGGATCGAAATCGCGACGGCCTGAGCCGAGGTTCAAACCCCTAGCGGTGCCCTCAGGTGCCCTCCTTGTCTCCGTCTATACACTCTTTACTGCGTGAAAGCCGATTTCTCCATGAAAGAGCGTACGTGTAAAGACAGCTAGTAAACTAAATATCCTTACTAATATTATAAAAAGTAACTCTGTCTGTCTCTCGCTTTCAGGCCAAAACTACTGAACAGATTTAAATTAAATTTGGAACCCAGATAGTGTAGACCTTGAGAACGGAAATAGGCTACTTTTTAATGCGAAAAAGGGTTGAAAGGGGTGATGAAGGGTTGTACGGAAGTATCATCATTTTTAAAGCTAGAACTTATTTTTTAGGCTGTTGATAAAATATAAATAAATATCACATTCGAAATTTGTAAAAATGTTACCCTTAAGGGGCTAAAATAAAATAGGGGATGAAAATTTGTATGGAAATTCATTTTTGAAGCTAGAATGATGAAATTTTCTTCATTCCCTCTTTTGGGTTAGAATATTGGATATTTTTTCTTTATTTGGCCAAGGTCACTACAAAACGCAGCCGAAGTCGCGGACACAGCTAGTAAATATATAAATGAAAGTTACCGGCGGCTGAGTGCAGGGAATGCCTGGCGGCTTTCAGTAGTCGATGTCTGTGCCCGTACGCGGCCACGCCCACCGCCCGCAGATCCTCGTGCGACATCTCCGACAATATATCGACTGTGATCTGTTCGCGCTCCAACACAGACGACAACTGCTCCAGACCGATGCTGAATAAGAATAAGAATAATTTATTACTGCCAATCAAATTACACAAAAAAAAACACATTTAATTTTTTTGTATATATATATATATGTATATTGTTATGTAAGCATATTACTATTGACATATATACCTAAGTTAGGTAAATACAAATAGAATAGAATAGAAAATCATTTATTCAAATAAACTTACATTTAAGCACTTTTGAATAGTCATTACATTTTTTTAATCTACCGCTCATTCGGAAAGCTGTCTCATCACAAGAAGAACGAGCAAGAAACTTGCGTGTTGCTCTTTTAAATAACTTTATTATTACTTTACATTTTTAAGTTGAAGTGTGCAAATACAAACCACCAATTACCACTAATTCAATTATTGAATATATAACCAACTGGTTAAACAATTAATAAGAGGAAATCAGTCATAGTGATTAGAGCAGACCAGTCCCTACAAGCAGCACCCGTTCACGAGTATGACGGAATAATATGCCTGTTCCCATTACTGCTCATCAACCGCTTTCTGTTTCTACCCAATGGTTAGCTGGTTTGGGCTGTGCATTGTTAGATCACTATGTCAGTCACCTTTGAGTTATATATATTTAGATATCTAGCACCCATAAAATAAGCTTTAGCTAGCTTAACATGTGTCTAGATGGCGCTGTGTGAATTGTCCTGAAATTGTTATTATACATATTTAATACCTGGATAGGAACGTCTGTAGTGACTCCGAGGTAGACAGAGCTGATGCAGGTCTACCCGCGGCGTCTTCTAGACTCCCTCTGGAGCCCTCCGCCCAGTAGTTGCTTGGTACCACCTGCATATAATTACAAATACGTTCATTTAATTAATATCTAATTAATATTATAAACACAAAAGTTTATGAAAATGTGGATGGATGTTTGTTACTCTTTCACGCAAAAACTACTGTACAGATTTCGATGAAATTTTACAGTAACAGAGCTTATATATAAGAATCACACATAGGTTACAAATTTCATGCGGGTGAAATCACAGGCACAGCTAGTTTATATATACATCGAACCCGCGACCATCGGAAGTATAGCGGTGTGCTAAACCGCTAGATCACCGACGCCGTCAACTAGTTACTGTTACTGTCAGCTTTTAACTGATTTAGAATAATTCGTAAATAAAGCTGTGTTGTGTAAAAAGTTTACTAAGTGTTGGTAAGAGAGTAAGTTCAAGTCTGGCCGAGATGAGCAACAACATTTTACATTTCTAAATTACTCTTCAATTATGAAAATAATATGTTGGATGCAAAAAATTCCGATATATATATATGGGCTATTATAAATACAATAATTCAAACATAATATTCTGCTTCTTCCTTATCCCATTTATTTGTGGTCGTCGTAATATGTTTTTCTCTTCCATTCATCCATGTTCGTAGTTATCTCGTTATTTACTCCCTTTCTTACCATATCATCTTTCACAGTCTCATTTATCCATCCTTCATCCATCTCTCTTTTCCTCTTTTATCCATCTCTTTTTCCGTTTTCCTCTGCCTTTATAATCATAAGCTAATATAAAAAAAAATCGTACAAGGAATCGAACCCGCGACCGTCGGTAGTGTACTGACCGGCATGGTGAGCGGCACGGTGTCCCCGCTGGGCATGAGCACGGGGGCGGGCGGGGGCGCGGGGGGGCGCTGATGGTGCGGGGGCGGCGGGTGGTCCGCGGCGGCAGTCATCGCGTCCTGCAGCAGCGACCGCACGTCCTCGGCTCCGGCCAGCTCCACCGCCGTCTGCCCTTCTTGGTTCTTCAGGTACGGGTCCGCGCCGTGCGCCAGCTACGTTTATATCATTATTAAAGTAATAATAATAATCTCAGGACAATACACACAGCGCCATCTAGACCCAAGTTAAGTTAGCTAAAGCTTGTGTTATGGGCACTAGATAACTGATACAAGTACATAGATAATTTGTTTTCGTAAATCCATACATATTATACATAGAAAATACCCAGACCGATACAAACAATCATAATCATGAATACAAACGTTTGTGCCGTGCGAGGAATCGAACCCGCGACCATCGGACGTAAAGCGGTGTGCTAGACCGCTAGACCACCGAGGTAGTCAAAGTAAAGTATCATGTTTATATTCTGAATAGTCATTCATTAGTGTACAGCTAGTTTGAAATAAATAAATACACAATAAAAGTATATAATCAATATAGAAACTGCTGTGTGTATATAAATCTGCAGTTTCTCACCAGTAAAGCGCAGAGCTGAGTCCGAGCCTTATGCGCCGCTTCGTGTAACGGTGTGAAGCCCCATCTGCAAACAATAATCTTTACATAGTATAAATCATCACCACATTGCATCAGAGATATATTTATATACACGAGTTTATATATTACTTCAAGCCATAATATATATATACACAAAATAGCTATATCACTGATGTCTAGAATTCGGGGGAGCGCAAACAGCATCCTAACAACTGTTGCAAATACCTGATTGTCCGCTCCAGAGGCACTGGATATCGTTGCATTGTGGACCCAGTGCTTCTGGACGTGGACACGGATATATGAATTAGGTATATATATCTCTGTATCAGTATATTATAAGTTATTAATGTACTTTTTTAAGTTCTTTACTAACACAATATGGATATAATCCGAATTAAATAAATAAATAAAATAAAACAAAGTCGTCGTTGTCTTTGCGCATATATCTTTTAAATTACGCAACCCATTTTAATGCAGTTTTCAGCAATAGATAGAGTAATTGAAGAGGAATTACTTTAAATGAAATATAAATATTCTTTATTGCACTTAAATACATTTGTAAGTATATTAATTACAGCTAATGTTAACAAAGGAGAATGAAAATTAAGATTTAAATGACTTGTGTTTCCATTACTGTCGAACGAGTAGTAGAACCAGTAATTCCTGAGATTAGCGCGTTTAAACAAACAGATAAACTCTTCAGCTTTATAATATTAGTATAGATAGAGAACAGCAGTTACCTATCTGCTGCGTTGGGCGGTGTCCCCGCCCTCAGGAGCAACGCAGCCAACTCCAGATGTCCGTAGGAGGCCGCGTTGTGTAGGGGCACCAGTCCGCCCTTGTCGCGGGCCGAGACCGCAGCCCCGGCCTCTAGCAAGGCTTCCGCTACCTCCAGGTTGTTGTAGCCGGCTGGTGGATGGTAGAAATAGTTAGACACCAATAAATTAATTTAAATTTTTTTTAAATATATTTGAAGACCATTCACACAGCGCCATCTAGACCCAAGTTAAGCTAGCTAAAGCCTGTGTTACTAGATAACTGATGCAAATACATAGACTTTTTTTTATACATATAATACATAGAAAACACCCAGACCGACACAAACAATCATACTCATGAATGTTAGTGCCGTGCCAGGAAAGGAACCCGCGACCATCGGAAGTAAAGCGGTGTGCTAAACCGCGAGACCACCGAGGTCGTCGAGTTTGGTTTCTAGTGGTTTAATTAATAATTAGGACCACTGTTCCTTGAACAAGCACTTGTAGATAATAGGTGTTACAGACAGTCTCTGCCGGGGTTACTTTGAAGTCGAAGAAACGGCCGCTCACGTAGTCCGGTAGTGCTAGAAGTGGCCACACAATGAACATGGATCCTCGGAACGGTGAGGTCGCTCCGTGAAGCCTGTGAAGACACCAGAAGGCTTCTTCGCTTCAGGGAGCTTAGCTGGCTACTGTAGTAGCCTTGGTTCTAAACGCTCAACTATCCAAAAGTGCGGAAACAAGGTCCAAGATACAATACCCTGAATTACACCAAGAAAGTCGTGAGTTCAAATCTAGTCAAAAAAAAAAGATTGTGTGTGAAACGCTGATATCAAACTATAAATCCTAAAGACAGCAGTAGGATAACCTTCTGCCACGTTCATCATCACGATGATTGGCCTGATATTTGAATAGAACGTGGCGCCATCTAGTTTCAAAGTAGTGTAACTTTTGATGGGACAATTTATAGAAGTACTAATCACAGCGCCATCTAGTTCCAAAGTAGCGTAACTTGTGATGAGGTAATAGAAAATTGATAGAAGTACATAATTTTGTAAAGACATACATAATATACATAGAAAACAAATGCATGTAAAAAAATTGCGATGCAAATCGCGAGTGGAATCAAACACCATCGAGACCGTAATTCTAAAGACTACTGTTGCGGATGAATGATACTATGTTGTTGGTCGAGACGATGTATATTACAGATGGTAATAAACTGACAATATGTACATAGAAATAATGATCTTATATACTAAACAACAATAGGAAAATGTAAGGTTGGGTGACACAGTTTAGACACAGCAGTGCTTAGTACACAATATTGAATTTGTCTTACTAGACATTATAAATGCAATTATTATTTTGATGTATCTAGGTGACTGTGTCCCATAACTGCCATACCATAAATCACCGCCACTTACCAGCTAAATGCAAAGGCGTAGAATTCCTTCCGTGCGCGTCTCTACAATTTACATTCTGTGGCGTTATTAGTTTCCTGAAAAAAAAAACAAATCTTTTATTAAAAAAATGTTAACAAACATTATCATGTTGCTTTAATAATAATAATAACATTGGACATTCCACACAGCGCTATATAGACCCAAGCCAAACTGAGCTTGTGTTATGGGTATTAGACAACTGGTAGAATCCTTATTCATTTATTAATTAAAACTTTAATGCTCAAATACACAACTAAAAGTGCACATGGCGGACCTAACACCTAGATTAGAAGCACTTATATGTATACTAGATGTTCCCGCGACTTCGTCCGCGTGGAATTTATTTTTCTAAAATAAAAATAGCCTAAGTTACAGTTTTAGCCGTCAAAATCGGTCCAATCATTTCAGAAATTAGCCGGAACAAAACAGACAGACAAAAATTGTAAAAAATGATTTTTGGTATATGTAACGTATTTATTTCTATTCATTCATATCAATTCAGTAAAAAACGGTTATTTCAATATAACAAACAGACACTCAAATTTTATTTATATGTATATATATATATATATATATTTTTATTTCGTAAATTCTTTTTGTGAATAAATCTTCAATAATAATGTATAGATTACTAAACTTTTACGCCAAAACAATTGCAAAATATGCGGTTAGTACACAATATTTATTAATACTGACATTCTTTTAATATATATACTATATATTTTAAGAAAATAAATACATTTCATTACACACACAATATAAATAGACAACTCCTAGACCAATATAAAAAATCATACTCATCTGCTTCTTCCTTATCCCATTTATTTGTGGTCGTCGTAATATGTTTTTCGCTTCCATTCATCCCTGTTCGCAGTCATCGCGTTATTTACTCCCTTTCTTACCATATCATCTTTCGCACAGTCCATCCATCTCTATTTCGGTCCATCCTTCCTCTGCCCTTATAACCATCCACATTCATATGTAACGTAACACCTTTCTTAAAATATTATCCTCGTTCCTACGCATTACGTGTCCATACCATGATAGACGATTACTCTTCAACCTCTCTGACACCGGTGCCACTTTCATACTTCCTCTAATGTATACAAAAAATCATACTCATGAATACAAACATTTGTACTCGATCGAATTGAGTGGCGGAGTTCTAAACTCCTACACCACCGAGGCCATCTGTCATTGGTCTACAATTGAGGAAATCTGACCTGGCCCGCGCGAGGTCCCCCCTCTTGGCAGCGTCCAGCAGGGCCTGGTCTCCGCGCAGCGCGTCCGCGGTGTCCGAGTCCCCGGGCCTCACCAGCTGCAGCGGCGTCAGACCGTCACGGTTCCTTCTGCTGGGGTCTGCTCCGTGCTGACGAATCACAATAGTTGTAGTTACATATGTGTAAGAAGCACTAATTATGATGGACGACTGAGGCTTTGAAGCCGGCTACCGCAAGGGAAACCCTAAGTAGCGCCCATGACTTGTGACACGGGTGTAGGTTTAAAAGGCCCTTTTTCGAATGCATTAACACTCACCTTCACTACTTGCAGCTTCCCCCCAGGCCCAACTAAGACCGGGATAAACCCATTTCTAATACAATTACTTTAGTATCCAAAGCACAACCGGCACGCTCTGCGCTCGTCGACTGAATGCCGCGACTCACGCAACGAAAAAGGATTATTCAACTACCGACCTCCGTATTTATAGACCAAAGTCAGTGTAGTAGGTCGGACTACAAATACTAGATGGCGCTTTTTACAATATTCGTAATAATCTTTACATTGGGTACTACATTGGTACTAAACACAAACTACCTTCTTTTAATATCTTTTTAAAATATCGGATTTTTTCTACAATAATGATGTGAATTCTTGTCATGTCATGCACATGGTGACTATCAACTACGAGATAGACCGCGTTCGTTTACTTGTTTAAAAGAGTGACGCCAAGCTCAGCCCGCTATTTGCATAGTGGTCTACTTTTATTGTATGTTTTTTTTTTATTAGGTTGTTTGGGCTATTGTCAGATGTTTGTAGCACTTGTCGCACTGCGACCTACATATATCTATTGTGCTCGCTCTTTTTCAAAATTTGCTACCTAGACCCGTCAGAGACAAGAATTGAAGGATATTCTTAGGAGCGATGGTTTTTATCTCCTCGGGAAAGAGTGTAAACTTTCCAAAGAAGATATTTCGTTTATGCATGAGTGGGCTACAACCACATAGGATGTTTTGATGGAGCAGCGTTTCCTCTTCAGATTGGCAGAATCTGCAGATTCATAGTGGTCTACAATTAAATTATTGGATTTGGGCTAGACTTACTACGATACACTACTACGACAAATTTCATCTTATTTTGTATCTAAAGTTTCGATTTAAAAATGTAAAGTTACAACAATTATTTAAAAGAGCAATACGCAAATTTCTCGCTCATTCTTCTTGTGATGAAACTGTTTTACGTCACGAGATGTCACTATTCTTAACCGATAGTACTCGAGGCAATCGGGCGATCTCATTATATTGTAACATACACACACGACACTATCCTCGCCGGTGAAGACGATGACCTCAACCACACCATACCGCGCGATCAACCAGGCTTCTGAACGCGCCCGGGCGTTCCATACCGGTGCCTTCGGCCGCCCCTTCGATCGATCCCCCGTCCCATCCATACGGGGATCGAAATTACGACGGCCTGAGCCGATGTCCAAACCCCTAGCGGTGCGTTCAAACTAAAGTGATATCCGTCCTTCAGCCGCTCCATAAGTCCTTTGGTTTGAAGTGCCATCTGTACTCGTCCCCGTATTAAGGCCAGCTGCGGCCAACAGCATTAGGATAGTCCGAAAAAAAGCACTTCGTATTAGGGATGCGCGGGAAAGGGATGGAGATAGACGAAATGGCACCATACCAAGGCCAGCTGCCAACAGCATTAGAGTAGTCCGAAAAAAGCACCTCGGTTTATATACACTGCGCGGGAAAGGGATGGAAATAGACGAAATGGCACCATACCAAGGCCAGCTGCCAACAGCATTAGAGTAGTCCGAAAAAAGCACCTCGGTTTATATACACTGCGCGGGAAAGGGATGGAGATAGGGGAATTGGTACCATACCAGTGGATCGGCTTAGAAAGGACTCGTCCAGTGTGTAGGTCGTGATACCTTGAGCAGCAGCCGCACGATGTCGGCCTTGCCCTTGGCGGCGGCCTCGTGCAGCGGCGTGAAGCGCCACAGGTCGGCGGCGTTGACCCCCGCGCCCGCCGCCACCAGCAGCTCCGTCACCTCGTAGTGCCCGTACGAGCACGCGTTGTGCAGCGGCACCAGGCCGCTGTACGGGACACAACCATATCCTTTACACTCTGGCCTCCGGGGGGTCTCATTCAAAGACGAATTCAAAGGGGCAAATATTCTTACAGTTGCTTCTTATGTAACATAACAAAATCTTCACTTATTTCTAAAAACACAGCAATATTCATAATATTACTACTAGATGTAAAGACAAACTTGCTGTCCCCGAGTATCGTTTATAAAAATCAATAGGTTTTCTATGGGAATAGGTATAAAAATTTACAATGTATTTTACACGGGAATCGGCTAACCATAGACAACTTTATTGAGTAGAAATTAAATTTATATTATTAAGGAATTATAGTGATTATTTGCAGTAAGCAACACTCAATACTGTATTTGTACTTTTTAGCTGTATGAGGGTGCTACCTGCGCTTTTACTTACTAGCTGTGATCTCTTGAGTGAAATCATTCTGTCGTTCTGTGTCATTTCATTGTACTCGAAGTAATATTGATCAATATAAGAAATCTTACTCAATTATAGCATTTCAATATCCCAATGATAATGTGATAAGTTAGGTCATTGGATTCCCTAAAATATGGTCAAGTGCAGTGATGACTGGCACAAACATGGCATACTCGTGAACGAGTGCTGCTGGCATCCCAAGTCTGCTCTAATCACTACGACTGGTTTAATCCTATTGTGTATTTATTAAGGTAAAGGGCCATATTATGAGACACCTTTTGAGTAGGAGTTGAATATTTTACATTGTTTAAAAAAAATAGAGTTGAAACATTGAATTTTTCTAAGTTAATAGTTTGCCTGATATCTACTGAAGTGATAATAATTATTATCAAGTGAGTTTTAGTTGAAAATGCTAATAAATTGAATAAAATAACAGACAAGTACATACGGCCGTATTTATGAAACAGTCTAAAGCAACACGTACGGGTGTTCCATCGGGAATGTCCCAAATTATGGAACTCAAAATGAACTGAAGTACTCACATTAAAATCATTTTTCAGTTACTAATTTATTTATTCATAGTATCAAAAGTTTTATTATTAATTATTAATACAGTTAGATTTAAAAATTATACGAATAAACAAGCAAGAAATAAATATTCACTTACAAAGTAAATATGACAAGAACAGTTTCAAATCTTAGGATTAATAAACAAGATATAAAAACCAAATATACATTAAATTAAACCAAAAATTCATTTCTTCTTTGATCCTTTGTAGTAATGCGTTCTCTAGTAGCTTTTTCCGTTCATCAGCTATCACTTTTTTCTCATTTAATAATTGTTTTCTTTTATGTAGCTTTTCTTCTTTAGTTTTACGATCAGTTTCTTTTTTTGAGTCATATTGCATCCATTGATCAGATATGCCAGCAGAAGGTAGTTTGAGTTTACCTGATGACTCAACTTTAATCCATTTTTTCTTGACTTCAAATTCAACTCAAATATTAATTCATCACCAACATTACGCACAATATTAAATTTATATTAACAAAATATTAGTTAAATTTAGTCAATTTAAATTATTACTTTCATTAATACCAGAATGAGCTTCAGTAACCATATCTAAAGGTTCATTTTATACTATAATTTCATACAGTAATTACCTCAGGAATGGCCGCTTTGTTGAGACTGGGTACTGGTATTTATCAGAGGAGAATATTAATAGAAGAATGACAATCATTGTTAAGTGTCATGTAAACATTAGTTTTATCATTCGACTTGATTATTAATCAAATTATTTCCTTACTGTTCTGTTCTTTCTCTAAAAATTAAAATTTACCAACGTCACTTCTTTGACAGTTAGTTTATTTATTTCATGAAAACCAACCAATATCAAATTATAAAAATTATACCAAACAATCAAAATTAATAATAACAATATAAAACAAGTCTATAGAATAAAGATATCAAATTCAATAAAAAAAATGTATCTACCTATAAAAATTATTAATTTAAAAACATCTATAAAAATGTGATATGTAGGTGCTTCGTAAAAATTTTGAATAAAATAAAGTGTTATTAATTTTTTCAGGCAGGTTTTCCACTTAAGTATATGTTTTAATTAACATAAAACAATATTTATCATCCAGCTTATTCATTTTTGAGGTTAGTTTTTTATTTTCATGGAAATTTACAATCTATGTACTTATCTAAATGCAAATTTTTATAAATATAAACTGTTCTAACGTAAATTGCTTTGTTATAATTAATTAACAATTATTAACACGAAATTAACTAAATATTGTCCACTTATTGCTGTTTCATAATTACGGACAACTTAGAAAATCGAATGTGAGGGGGATGTGGAACACTGAATATACTGTTCCATAAATACGGTCTGTTTAGAAATTTTTGCGGCAATTATGAAACACCTAAATAAAAAATAAATACCTTATTAAAGTACTTTAAATTCAATATCAATCAATAGATTATAAGTCAAACTTTTGATTAACATGTTTCAAGTATTTTTGAATCATTGACAAATATTTCAAATTGTTAAAACAATTGTGATGACACCTGTCATTCTCTAACTCTAAAAGACAGTCTTTTTTCATGCAACCTGACACGTGCATTTCACTATTTTTTTTTTCTATACATTTTAAGGTGTTTACCAAAATAAATTAATTTAATCAATAAATAGGTTATTAAAGATCATAAAGATAATATTATAAATACTGAATACGTTAGAAATTATTTGTAATTCAGATTTTTATCACTTGTTTCATAAACTAGTACAATGTTCCATAATATGGCCCTTTACCTTATCTGACCCTAATAAATTAGTACTAGTTGGTGGTTTGTATTCACATGTTTCGAATTGGAAATGTAAAGTTACAATGATTATTTAAAAGAGCAACACGCAAGTTTCTTGCTCGTTCTTCTTGTGATGAGACAGATTTCCCAATGAGTGGTAGAATAATAGAATGATGACTATGACTATTCAACAGTGCTTAAATTTATTTGAATAAATGATTTTCTATTCTATTATATCCCAAATGAAATGAAATTTATTGTTTAAATGTGGTTTTACACTGATGGTTTAAGATAATTAACATATTAGTTCAACACATTAGTCATTTCTGACATACAACAGACAACATGCGCCAGTTGTATATACATATATAATCTACAAATACATAAGAGGCGAGTCTCTACATCACTTCCCCCTTTTTTATAAAAGATATTCATTAGTACTGTAGAAGCACTTGTTTACCAACTACCACTATACGGTTCTTTTTTAGAATTGATTTTATTTAATTGTTTGAGTTTATCTGGTAAGTTATTAAATATTTTAATTGCCATAGCATAGCAGTTTGAGTTGGACAATGAAGTCTTTAATAAGGGATAACCTAACATATTGGGACGTCTCTCTTACTTTCGATATCATTTGATTTTTTGAACAGTTCAGAGAAAGATTTTACAAAAAGACAGACCTTATAAATGTACATTGACGGCAAATAAACCGATAAACTTGATTGATTCCGAGTCAACTATTTAATTGTAAACGTACCCTTTATCTTTCGCATGTACGTCCGCCCCTCGTTGTAACAACAGCTGAGCGAGGGGTAGTCGATTATATCTGAAAAAAAAAATGTATAAATGAATAAAACTTTCCTTTGTTTATAAATCAACTTATTGCGTTTATGACCGCACAGCTCAGTAGATAATGGTGTGGTAGCTGTTATGGAAAAATATATATTGGTCTTCCTTCAGCAGCAGCCAGCGACGGGTGATGGTAGACGATGAGTGAGGTGGCCGTTCAGGTCCCGGCAGTAGAGGGCCACACTCACCCGGCCGCGAAGTGCAGCGGCGTGGAGTGGCGTCCGTCCAGGTCCCTGCAGTTGACGAGCCGCGGGCGGGCGTCCAGCAGGCGGTGGAGGCCACACTCACCCGGCCGCGAAGTGCAGCGGCGTGGAGTGGCGTCCGTCCAGGTCCCTGCAGTTGACGAGCCGCGGGCGGGCGTCCAGCAGGCGGTGGAGGCCACACTCACCCGGCCGCGAAGTGCAGCGGCGTGGAGTGGCGTCCGTCCAGGTCCCTGCAGTTGACGAGCCGCGGGCGGGCGTCCAGCAGGCGGTGGAGGCCACACTCACCCGGCCGCGAAGTGCAGCGGCGTGGAGTGGCGTCCGTCCAGGTCCCTGCAGTTGACGAGCCGCGGGCGGGCGTCCAGCAGGCGGTGGAGGCCACACTCACCCGGCCGCGAAGTGCAGCGGCGTGGAGTGGCGTCCGTCCAGGTCCCTGCAGTTGACGAGCCGCGGGCGGGCGTCCAGCAGGCGGTGGAGGCCACACTCACCCGGCCGCGAAGTGCAGCGGCGTGGAGTGGCGTCCGTCCAGGTCCCTGCAGTTGACGAGCCGCGGGCGGGCGTCCAGCAGGCGGTGGAGGCCACACTCACCCGGCCGCGAAGTGCAGCGGCGTGGAGTGGCGTCCGTCCAGGTCCCTGCAGTTGACGAGCCGCGGGCGGGCGTCCAGCAGGGCGGGCGTCCAGCAGGCGGTGGAGGCCACACTCACCCGGCCGCGAAGTGCAGCGGCGTGGAGTGGCGTCCGTCCAGGTCCCTGCAGTTGACGAGCCGCGGGCGGGCGTCCAGCAGGCGGTGGAGGCCACACTCACCCGGCCGCGAAGTGCAGCGGCGTGGAGTGGCGTCCGTCCAGGTCCCTGCAGTTGACGAGCCGCGGGCGGGCGTCCAGCAGGCGGTGGAGGCCACACTCACCCGGCCGCGAAGTGCAGCGGCGTGGAGTGGCGTCCGTCCAGGTCCCTGCAGTTGACGAGCCGCGGGCGGGCGTCCAGCAGGCGGTGGAGGCCACACTCACCCGGCCGCGAAGTGCAGCGGCGTGGAGTGGCGTCCGTCCAGGTCCCTGCAGTTGACGAGCCGCGGGCGGGCGTCCAGCAGGCGGTGGAGGCCACACTCACCCGGCCGCGAAGTGCAGCGGCGTGGAGTGGCGTCCGTCCAGGTCCCTGCAGTTGACGAGCCGCGGGCGGGCGTCCAGCAGGCGGTGGAGGCCACACTCACCCGGCCGCGAAGTGCAGCGGCGTGGAGTGGCGTCCGTCCAGGTCCCTGCAGTTGACGAGCCGCGGGCGGGCGTCCAGCAGGCGGTGGAGGCCACACTCACCCGGCCGCGAAGTGCAGCGGCGTGGAGTGGCGTCCGTCCAGGTCCCTGCAGTTGACGAGCCGCGGGCGGGCGTCCAGCAGGCGGTGGAGGCCACACTCACCCGGCCGCGAAGTGCAGCGGCGTGGAGTGGCGTCCGTCCAGGTCCCTGCAGTTGACGAGCCGCGGGCGGGCGTCCAGCAGGCGGTGGAGGCCACACTCACCCGGCCGCGAAGTGCAGCGGCGTGGAGTGGCGTCCGTCCAGGTCCCTGCAGTTGACGAGCCGCGGGCGGGCGTCCAGCAGGCGGTGGAGGCCACACTCACCCGGCCGCGAAGTGCAGCGGCGTGGAGTGGCGTCCGTCCAGGTCCCTGCAGTTGACGAGCCGCGGGCGGGCGTCCAGCAGGCGGTGGAGGCCACACTCACCCGGCCGCGAAGTGCAGCGGCGTGGAGTGGCGTCCGTCCAGGTCCCTGCAGTTGACGAGCCGCGGGCGGGCGTCCAGCAGGCGGTGGAGGCCACACTCACCCGGCCGCGAAGTGCAGCGGCGTGGAGTGGCGTCCGTCCAGGTCCCTGCAGTTGACGAGCCGCGGGCGGGCGTCCAGCAGGCGGTGGAGGCCACACTCACCCGGCCGCGAAGTGCAGCGGCGTGGAGTGGCGTCCGTCCAGGTCCCTGCAGTTGACGAGCCGCGGGCGGGCGTCCAGCAGGCGGTGGAGGCCACACTCACCCGGCCGCGAAGTGCAGCGGCGTGGAGTGGCGTCCGTCCAGGTCCCTGCAGTTGACGAGCCGCGGGCGGGCGTCCAGCAGGCGGTGGAGGCCACACTCACCCGGCCGCGAAGTGCAGCGGCGTGGAGTGGCGTCCGTCCAGGTCCCTGCAGTTGACGAGCCGCGGGCGGGCGTCCAGCAGGCGGTGGAGGCCACACTCACCCGGCCGCGAAGTGCAGCGGCGTGGAGTGGCGTCCGTCCAGGTCCCTGCAGTTGACGAGCCGCGGGCGGGCGTCCAGCAGGCGGTGGAGGCCACACTCACCCGGCCGCGAAGTGCAGCGGCGTGGAGTGGCGTCCGTCCAGGTCCCTGCAGTTGACGAGCCGCGGGCGGGCGTCCAGCAGGCGGTGGAGGCCACACTCACCCGGCCGCGAAGTGCAGCGGCGTGGAGTGGCGTCCGTCCAGGTCCCTGCAGTTGACGAGCCGCGGGCGGGCGTCCAGCAGGCGGTGGAGGCCACACTCACCCGGCCGCGAAGTGCAGCGGCGTGGAGTGGCGTCCGTCCAGGTCCCTGCAGTTGACGAGCCGCGGGCGGGCGTCCAGCAGGCGGTGGAGGCCACACTCACCCGGCCGCGAAGTGCAGCGGCGTGGAGTGGCGTCCGTCCAGGTCCCTGCAGTTGACGAGCCGCGGGCGGGCGTCCAGCAGGCGGTGGAGGCCACACTCACCCGGCCGCGAAGTGCAGCGGCGTGGAGTGGCGTCCGTCCAGGTCCCTGCAGTTGACGAGCCGCGGGCGGGCGTCCAGCAGGCGGTGGAGGCCACACTCACCCGGCCGCGAAGTGCAGCGGCGTGGAGTGGCGTCCGTCCAGGTCCCTGCAGTTGACGAGCCGCGGGCGGGCGTCCAGCAGGCGGTGGAGGCCACACTCACCCGGCCGCGAAGTGCAGCGGCGTGGAGTGGCGTCCGTCCAGGTCCCTGCAGTTGACGAGCCGCGGGCGGGCGTCCAGCAGGCGGTGGAGGCCACACTCACCCGGCCGCGAAGTGCAGCGGCGTGGAGTGGCGTCCGTCCAGGTCCCTGCAGTTGACGAGCCGCGGGCGGGCGTCCAGCAGGCGGTGGAGGCCACACTCACCCGGCCGCGAAGTGCAGCGGCGTGGAGTGGCGTCCGTCCAGGTCCCTGCAGTTGACGAGCCGCGGGCGGGCGTCCAGCAGGGCGCGCGCCCCGTCCGCGTCCCCGGCCCGCGCCGCCTCCAGCAGCCGCGCCGCCGCCCCCGCACCCGCCGACGACTCCGCTGTCATACACAAACAAATCTCAGTCACACCATACACAATCGATGAAACGTCAGCTCGCACGCAATCCTCTCTGGAAACCATAGTGGTTTTAGGTCCGTTTGAATCTAACCTGACTATTTAACTATCAGCATAATAACGGATGAACAATATATCGTCGCGTCGCGTCTCCATACTAAGTATACAATGAAGCAGCGTGGCGGGTGGTACTGACCGTCGGGCTGGTGGTGGTGGCCGGGTGGTGGCTCGGGGCGGCTGTCCGCGCCGCACGCCAGCAGCAGGCGGCAGGCGGCGGTGGCGTCCCTTCTGGCGGCCACAGACAACGCGCTCTCGCCGCGGCCATCCATAGCGTTCACTTTCGCGCCTAAAAAAGAAAAATAACCATAGACAACAAATAATAACTATAAATTTTAAAAATACTAAATATATTTTTAAATCACATTCTTTCTAATCGTACTGCTATCGTAGTCTATGGTCGGGTTAATGACCTCTTTGTTTAGCTTTTTAGTAGGAAATAATATAAGACATTTTTTATTATTCGTGGACCTGTAGCACTGCGAACTATATAGATATATTGTGCTCGCCCTTTTTCAGAGATCACTACCTAGACCCATCAGGGACAAGAATTGAAGGATATTCTTAGGAGCGATGGTTTGTATCTCCTCAGAATAGACTGTAAACTTTCTAAAGAAGATATTATGTTTATGCATAAGTGGGCTACAACCACATAGCACGTGTAGTGGTGTTTCCTCTTCAGTGTGACAAAATCTGTATTTTTTGTTGTGCACAGGCCTAGGTTTGCCATAAATATATTAGGTTCGGTTTAATAAATTAGATTTTTCATATATTAGACTTCCTGTTGCGAACTATTTTTTATACCTTTTATTATCTATGTTTTTTTATAACACTATATTTCTACATATGTGACATAAGTGAATATAATATTGTGCGATATCGGAGCCGTTTACTTTACTCGCCTCATCTTGATCTCCTTCCTTCACTCTTACCATCATCTGCTTCTTCCTTATCCCATTTATTTGTGGTCTTCGTATATTTTTTTCTCTTTCATTCATCCCTGTTCGCAGTCATCCCGTTATTTACTTCCTTTCTCACCATATCCTCTTTCACAAAGTGCATCCATCTCTTTTTCGGTCTTCCTCTACCCTTATAACCTGACGGTGTTACATTCATATGTAACACCGTCCTTAGGATATGATCTTCATTCCTACGCATTACATGTCCATACCACGATAGACGATTACTCTTCAACCTCTCCGACACCGGCCCCACTTTCATACTTCCTCTAAAGTATTCATTCTTTATCTTATCCATTCTTGTCACACCACGCATCCACCTTCCTTCACACTTACCGTGCCTCAACAAAAGGTCCATTGCATCTAGATGCGCGTGCTCGGTCGCGACGTGTAACGGAGTCCGCCCTTCTTTGTTCTTCTCGTTCACTCTCGCGCCTTTCCTTATTAATATCTCCATAACCTGCAAAAAATTATATATCCTAATATACTTGCTGTCTCTTTCTATTGTCTGTTTTTAAATCTCGGGTACAAATTTGACATTACCGATGTTGCCAGATTTTTGCAATGTTTAAGGGCTGTGGCACTATTGGAAATTAATATTAAATACCCATTTTTATATGTTACTCAGAAATAATATCACAAAATTAATATAGTATATGTATTAATAAATATTTAGTTGTTGAACAATTTACTATTTGTACGGAAACGACAAAAATGTATTTTTATGTTGTATAATACTACGACAGTAATGTAAACACTAGTATATGTACGTAAATTGTAAAATTCTATTATGAAAACGTGTCTTAAACCTTTAAAACTAATATGTTACAATAAAAGTTTCCGATTAAACAAATCGGTGTATTGCAGGTACACCACTACCCCGCTGTAGGTGGTAACATTATTAGAAAATTTGACATTTACACGTCAATATTGACTATATTGACGTGTAAATGTCAAATTTTCAAAAAAATTTTTTCTGGTATTAAAAAATTTACTATAATTGCAAGTGTTACACTTTCCTGCGCGAAAAAATGTTAAATATTATACTTACTCTATATAAGTAAAACAAATAAATTCAAAAGCTTAGTAAATCTTTAATTTTTTAAGTATGGAAAATGAGTGAAATCCATTACATCTTAATTTTGTCCAAACGTAAGTCATCCGTCATCTAACGTACCAACCACATACCTGCTTCCGTTTCGGGTAGACACTGGCAGCTGCGCAGTGTAGGGGCCGATCTCCAGTCCCTACATGTTGGAAGTTGACCAGTGCCTCCGCTGTACACTCGCCTGGTAACGAGTGGGTGCTGCCGCCGCTTGACGTGTGACCACTCTGTTGATTTGACAGGGAAAAGATACTATAATTAAAATTCGTAAAATGTTATTTTACCTTAAAAGAAATTAAAGCATTACTGAGCTTTTGAATTTATTTGTTTTACTTATATAGGGTAGGTATAACATTACACATGTTTTGGCGCAGGCAAGTGGCGTATTCATGTTTTTAGCTTTACATTAGTATTTAAATTGTAGGTATTTGATTTTTTTTATATAATTTGAATGAATGAATGAAACTTTTTATTGTTCCTCTCATAGAAAATACAATTATGTATAAAATGATAAAAAAAAACAATAAACAAGAGAAAGAGGTAACAATGGACGGCAATCAAATTTGAATGGCAATCAAAACCCTAGACCAAAGAGTTAATAATAAAGGATGAAATTACCTGGTGCGAACCAGAGGCGGTGGACAGCTGCTTCTTGACTCGACCAGGCTCTGCCAACCGACAGGCTTCCAGCAAACACTGACCCCGGTACTCAACTGGTAAGGATCAAATTATACACAATTAATGTTTAGACCAGTGTTTCCCAACCTTTATTGAGACATGTTGCACATTAACCTAAATTTCTTATGACCCTAATGTAACATACATAATGAAGTGAAATGTTCACATGAGAAACTTAAATTATATGTTTTAGGAAAAAATCACTATAGTCGTGTTTTTAATTAGACGAAGCCAACTGACAGTAGCTAATGTCACTTTGTAAAATAATGTTGTCATATTTAAAGTAATAGTGATGCGTTCAGATCTCGGTCAGACGAATGAACGAGTGTGAATAGTTAATGATTTCAAACTATAAAAGAATATTATTGCGTCACTACTACCTATTGAGGCTCCCGAAAAAAAAAATGTGTTTCAAAAACTACGACACTACATAATTAAAAATACGACTATAGTCACAACACAGGAAGTAGAAAACGTAATGAAGATTGAAATTAATAATTCCAAATAATTTTAATAAATTTTTCTATTCTTTCTTCACGTCTGATAGAGACGGTGTATGTGTATGAGACGAATTTGATAACAGAGGTTCGCCTTATGAAGGAGGTCTATTGACTGAAGAGAGTCGTCAGTGTTCTATATATTTATATTATTAGTAGAAGATTAGAAAATCCTTGTTTCAAATAAACTTAATTCAAGCACTTTAGAATAATCATAGTTATACTTTTAATCTACGGAAAACCTGTCTCATCACAAGAAGAATGAACAAGAAACTTGTGTGTTACTCTTTTAAATAATCGTTGTAACTTTATTTATTTATTATAACTTTGCATTCCATAATTTTACAGTAGATAGATAGATAGGTTATATTTTTAAATCCAAACGTGTGAATACAAACTACCAACTATCAGTAATTTATTAGTCTGTGAAGTAAATGTAATAGGGGCCGTTCAAGTATTACGTAAGCAGATTTATTACAATTATTTAACCCCCCCCCCCCCCCCATCCCCCTTGTCAGCTAAAGTAAGCAAAACTCTTACCCCTCCCGCCATGCTTACGTAAACATTTTTCAATTAATGTATTGTTTTTTATAGCAAAGACAATGTGAGGGTTGCCATTTTCGTAAAAAAGTAAATAAGACAATGCGAGGGTTGCCATTTTCATAAAAAAAAGTAAATAAGACAATGTGAGGGTTGCCATTTTATTAAAAAAAGTAAATAAGACAATGTGAGGGTTGCCATTTTCATAAAAAAGTAAATAAGACAATGTGAGGGTTGCCATTTTCATAAAAAAAGTAAATAAGACAATGTGAGGGTTGCCATTTTCAGCCATGTCATCCAAAATAAGCAAAGCAAAGACCGCCCGCCCCCTATAGTGCTTACATAATAGTTGAACGGCTCCATATAGGACATTAGTTGTTTAAAATAATTTATATACGTACAAGCTAGCCGCTCCTGCAGTTCTCTCGAAGGTGCTACATCTAGCGCGGACTTCCCGTGGCAGTTCAATAGCGTGGGGTCAGCGCCCTCGCTTAATAGTAATGAACACACCTTGAATGAAAAATAATATTGTTCACTATAAGTGTCCCGATGAAAAATAATATTCTTCACTATCAGTATCCCAATTAAATTGTTCACTATATGGCAGCTGCAGATTTCACGATGCGAATTCAGTTAAAAGTATCCTACATATTAATATGGGCTGTGGGACTAATATACAATAATAATCGTGGACAATTCACACAGCGCCATCTAGTCCCGAGCTAAGATCTAGTCCAGAGCTTGTGTTATGTAAATATTTATAAATGCATACATAACATACATAGAAAACACTCCGACAATACAATGCGAGTGCGAGGAATCCAACCTACGACCATCATAAGCAGTGCGCTAAACCGTTAAACCACAGAGGCCGTCATAAGTATATCAAATATATTTAATTGTATTGCTCTGAATGTTATCTGAATCTACTGATAACATGCAAATCAATGCAATCAATCATAAACAGAATTAAACACGCTAGGAATCGAATCAGGTATCATCAGAGTGTAAACCCGCTAACCATCACGGCTGTTAATTATAATTTTAGTACTTCGAGCCGGATAGTTCCCGTATATCATAATAATAATAAACCACAATTTACACAGCGCCATCAAGTCTTAAGCAGCACAAGGTCTACTTAGCTTAATGTAGACCTTGTGCTGTGGGTACTAGAGAACTGATATAAATACATTTTTTCTTGTAAATCTATACATTTAGGTGTGCTATGCACATACATATACAGACTAAATTAGAGTACGATCAGATTAAATCGCGTTGCATAGCGCATCTACTGCACGTCCCTCCCCAGTCTTATCTTATCTATATCATGTAGCACAGGAATAGCGTATTATATCAGTGATTATGTCTCCTGATTTTTCATTTCGTGACTCCCAGACACCACACCCGAACACGTTATATATATAATATAATACAGCAAAAGTGATAACATATATCAGCGAAATACATAATAGAAATGATTGCACCGTGCGAGGATTCGAACCCGCAATCACGTCAGCACCTGTGCGGACAAGGAGCTCTGTCATCTCGTAATGTCCATAGCTGACTATCAGGTCTATTATAATTTTAGTACATAGAGCCATGTATATGAATTGCGCATGAGACCTACCTCCAGCCTGGCCTTGCTGGCGGCTTCATGTAGTGGTGTGAAAGCCCACAGATCTGTGGCATTCACGTCAGCACCCGCGCGGACTAGGAGCTCTGTCACCTCGTAGTGTCCGTACGAGCAGGCGTTGTGAAGAGGCACTAGACCACTGTATCAATTACAAATGTATGTAAGAATTTAATTGTTGTTGTAGCTTGTTAGTAGTACAAGGTTTTTATTGAAGGGTATGTTTTAGTAAGTATTTAAATTCACATTTAAATCATAATTTCGTAAACACCTTTCCCGAAACTAGAGTACTTCCTTTTATCCCAAATTTTAATACACACATAGAGGAATATTTCTCTACACATCCTCCTTTACAGACGTGACTTTTATTGTTTTCTTTCTTTCTTTCTTCTATAATAAATTATATTTATAATTTAGTACAATAACAGGAGTAAAACGTGAAATATCTTCTCAATTTAATCTGTATACTGAACTTGACGGTAGGGAAAAAATATTAATATCAAAAACTTGACGTTCATAAACGACTAAAATGTCCTAAATGAATAAATGATCTTTGATTTGACTTTAAGACTCACCCCTTATCCTTGGCGTGCACATCAGCCCCCCGCTGCAGCAGTAGTCGGACGGCGCGCGCGCGGTTGTACCCGGCGGCCAGGTGTAGAGGCGTGGAGCGACGCCCGTCTGCAGCGTGCACGTCCACATTGAGCGGAGTTAGTAGCGCCGCTAAACGCTCGTCTGCTCCGGCCCGAGCCGCTTCCAGCACCTCCGCGGAGCAGTACTCCCCTGTAGTGTAGAAGGTGGTTGGTTTCAGTCACAAGCGTGTACACTGAGATATTTTTTTATAGTATAGGGTACAAATGAGTTCGTGACTTTCCTGATGGTAAGGGACTACCTCCGTCCATGAGCACCCGCAAAACCAAGGGACTTGCAGGTGCGTTTCCGGCCTTTTAAGGAATAAACTTTTGCTTTAAGGTTTCAATATTGTATCGGTTCGGAAATATCATTGCTAGAAGATTCTACAATGTGGTTGTGCGTGGCAAAACTTGCTACACTGACCAGGGCAATGTATCTGTCGTGCCTACATTACACCACCAAGCAGCAGGACATTGTCGACTATATATGGACCTGGAGTAATCTGACATTGAGGCAAGGCGTTTGCGGCCCGGGTTCCCACCAACATGCTGCCCACCTCCGTGAAGGAGGTTTTTTAAATGTAATCTAATGTCCGAAGGTTTTTTAAATTCCAAATCAAAATTAACCTGAGTTAGCAGTTGGCAATCCACCTGCCATTTCGGTTTTAAAGTTTGAATGTTGACAATGTCTCTGACTACCCCACCTTTTTTTTATTTTTCTTTACGTGGTGAAACCCCCTAATGGAGACCCGCCCGTCCCAGGGGTTGGACGGACGGGTACTGTGAGACTTCTATTCACCAAATACCCCACGATATTCCTCCTCGCCGCCATAGTGCCGGGGTCACGGAATCGAGTTCGCAATCGACCGCGTCCCCAGCAGCGGTTACCCTCTAAAGCCCTCCTCAACGCGTGGGGGGAACTCTTCTCAGTTCCCCCGCATCCGGCCACTATGGGGAAGACGCACCGATGACCCGATACCCCACCTAGCATAAGTCATGATTATATACATACCTGTCAGGACAGGTCTGGTGGCGGCGTCGGCGAGATCTAGCGGAGTCTTGCCCTCGGTGTTTCTTATATTCGGATCGGCGCCATGCTGAAGCAGTGCTAAAACAGTCATCAGCCACGTTAAGAGTCTCAATGGTTTAGCAGTTTGACACACTGTCTTGCTATCCGATGGTCGCGGGTTGGATCCTCGCGATCGGGACAAACATATGTATTAAAATTCAAAAATCATTTATTCATGTAGGACATTTTAGCTGCTTATGAACGTCAAATTTTTACATTCTAATTTTATTTTTTTCTCTACCGTCCAGTTCGGTATATAGATCCAATTGAGAAGAACTGGCATTCATGAGCATAATTGATTGTATTGGTTAACAATCATACTCGTACATGCAAATAATTGCATTGCGCGATATATCGAACCCACGACTATGGAAAGTAAAACGATGCGCTAAACCGCAATACCGCTGAGTCAGATGATTAGTACATAGTTTATCTTATTATATAATATGAAATAGGTGATGAAAGTTTGTGCAGACGAAGTTTTCAACTTACATAGTTGCAAAGTTAAGTAAATTTATAAAAACAAAGTCTAGCTTTTATTGAAATGGCGTTATAGCTTGGAATATTATTTTTGACTGTTCGACGATTCGCAGTTTAGTCGCCAAACAGTCAACACTAGCCTTCCAAGCTATCCGAGCTCTAATCATTGCCTGATGATGCATCGTTCAGAGGTGAAACACGTGTCGTATTATTACAACACAAAAACAGTCAGGTGGATGTTAAAAATGATTTTTTTCAAATTTATTTTTTCTGTGTTTGTATAGGCTAATCTCTGAAACCGTTAGACGCCTTTTGATGAAATTTTGCATGGTTGTGCCTAATATCCCCAGGCAACATCTTAGATACTTTTAATCATGGAATATTGTAGTTCCCGTGGGATATAATTAAACATCTATAGTAAGTTATACAGTACAGAGTTTATTACAATAAGGAGATTAAACATGGCAATCAAAGGAAAAACCACGCGGACAAAATCACAGGTTAGTTATAAAATATTTCGCAGTAACTTTAAGGAGATTCTGCTGGGGTGGACATTCCATTATCAGTTCCCACACTCAAAAGATCTGCTTTTATTTATTTATTTAATTCAGGCTACATGGCCCATATTATAAATACCTTATAGACTAACATACATAAGAAATAATAATAAAATATGAAAAATAAAATTGTCTCTATGGTCACGGCACTGACGACGGCAATCTGCCACGGTAGCGCCGATAGACCACTTTTAGTTCTAGGACTGATTGCAGATAGAAGAACATGGAAAAAGATCTACAGAATACTAACCAATGCAAACATCAACCTTTCCCTTAGCAGCAGCTTCGTGCAGCGGCGTGTAGCCCCAATTGTCTCTTGCGGCGGGTGCCGCTCCGGCCGTCAAGAGAGCTCTCACAACGTCTGCATGGCCAAATGAGCAGGCGTTGTGCAGCGGCTGCAGACCACCGTCATCACGCGCTTGAAGCGCTGCACCAGCGGAAATCAAAATCTCTACCACTTCTCTGCGCCCATAACCTGTGGCAATTAAAATTGATTTAGTTATAGTAGCTTTTATCACTACTTTTCACATATTTTAAATGGATGATGAATGGTGCACTTAATGGAATGATGCACTTAACTATGTCTATCACTCTAACATGTTTCTATCACACACGTGAATAAAGGCAGTATGTCAGTTAATTCTTATATGAATGATGGTTATAAGGGAGGAAGGGCAAAAGATATGGATGAAAGATGAGATGTATGGAAAGTGAGTGAACAACAAGATGACTGCGAACAGGGATGAATAGAAGAGAAAAACATATTATGCTGACCCTAAAAATAATAGAAAAATCTTGGAATCTCTGTATATGAAGAGACTAACATCATCTGCTTCTTAATTATTAACAGAATATATAATAATTATTATCTGCCTATTTATTATCAGAAGCAGATGTTAGTGTCTTCATATCCAGAGATTCCAAGATACCAAATTCCCCATATGTAGGACAGTATTGTCAAGAAACTGTAATTTAATGAAAATTAGAGTACTTAATAAAATAATATATCTAGCATTATATATCTTTAAAATTTAAATGAAGTAAATGAAAAATCAACATATAAATTGAGAGAAATTATTTATTGTATTGACAATATTACGTTGTAGATAACTTCACATTGTTATTCACTTCTATATAAGATTTACACTGGAAGGAATTAAGCCATAAGGCACTCTATACTGCGGGATATAATATAAATAATGAAATTAATAATTAAACATAGAAAATCAAACTACTTAACAAATGTGCAAATAAAAATAGTAAAAAAATATATACATAATAATAATTATAATAAATATATAGTATAATATAATAATATGAATGAACATGAATGTAACAAAAAAAAATTATTGAAAAGTACAGAAATAAAGACTAAAAAGGTTTTAGATGAAAATAATTGAAAATTGTTCATAATTCATATTTACATACCATTCCTGGTGAAACATGATGAACAGAATAATTGTAAAAATGAATGTTTTGCAGAGGAGCAAAGATCATATCTTGAAGAAAGTATATATAGCTGAAGGTAGATGGATGCAATGGGAGATGCCAACTGAAATTAAGTTGGATGGACTGTGTGAATGATATGTATAAAAGAAGAGTATGCTCAGATATGATGGCCGATAGAGATCAGTGGGAGCAGATGACATACTGCGCCAACAACAAATAATAGAATAAGGCAAGGCAATGGTTTTTTTAAATTTATTACAATTTACTGTACTAACACAGAATGATGTCAACAAAATTTTTAATTTTTGGAACTTGGCTATCTGCAATCACGGGTACTATAATCAGGTGAGCTGGTGGTGTGGGAGTTTCTCTATACCTTGACAAGTTCCCCATGTTTCAGCTAGCTAGAAATCTTTTAACCAGCTCCAGGATATTTGCTCTTTTGAGTCTTTTTGTTGACAAAATTAAAACATTAAAATTAAAAATACAGAAGGTGGTATTATGACTAATGTAATCTCTTCAAGACAATCTTTGGAAAGAGAGTATTCACAAGAAAATATGATGATTTTTTGACACCTGTGTGATTTCTTGAAGCCTTATACCCATAAGGCAACCCACTAGACAACTGATACCAATACATAAATATATTTTATTTTGCAAATACATACATATTATACATAGAAAACACCCAGACCAATACAACTAACATAATTAAAACAAATTAAGTAATAAAACAAACAATCATACTCATGAATACAAACATTTGTGCCATGCAAGGAATTGAACCTCCAACCATCGGTAGTAAGATGGTGTGCTAAACTGCTATACCATTGACAGCTTGTCACTATTATGCATTGGATATGTTGTATAACTTACTAGAAATGCAATATATTACAAACTATGAAATGTAACGTGTGAAACAACACTAAATAGAGTAATAAATATTATAGCAGCCATCTAACACGTAAAAAAATGGCAATTAATCTCGATACGCCGCATTGTACCACTTTAATCGAATTAAAACTGTTAAAACACGAAACCCAACGCAATTATACAGCGTAACTAATTATGCAACAACACAAAACTTATAATTTTTTAATTAATAAACACAATCCTTTCACTTTGTATTTATTAACTATAAAATTGTAAACAACCACTTAAAAATTGGACAGATACCTGCAGCGAAGTGTAGGGGAGTAGATTTTCTTCCAGCTGTATCTCTAGCATTCACTGTTTGAGGTGAAATAAGTTTTTTCACTCTCGCTGCATCGCCTGTTTTGCAAGCCTCGAATAATTCGCGGAGCGGATCTGTGGGAGCTGGCAACGAGTCAAGCGCCGAACCGAGCATAGACCGACGGCTAGACATATTGTTTACGCGTTTCACATCTAGTTTCCTTGTTTGTTATCTTCTCACATAGCCATTTTTGTAGAAATATCCAATTAATCGAATAAAAACACGTCCCAGTACAGCTGCTTCAGACTCTTTTTGTTTGACAATTGAAATGTTGCCCCATGTGAATAAGTAATCCCACTTTTTCTTACCATTATGATGATAATTTATTTTTATTTTTGTGTACTTACTGTCGCGTTCTTAAATTACGTGACATTAATTTTAATTATATAATAGCTGTTTTACATTCGTACACTCATATGATTTTCGGTTTATATTATTAATTATTAATCATTAGAAGTTACCGGCGACATTGTCCACATGGAATTTAACTTTTTTTATAAATAAGATTTCTGTCATGAAAATAATCTAAGTAAGTCCTTATAATATTGAGTATATTTTAGTAAAAGTCTCATTAAATCAGTCTAACCTTTTCCCAGATTAGCAAGAGTATAATTACGTATATACTTTCATATGTATTTAATAAGAACTGTTAATTTGAATTTACAAATAGATATTTCAATTTTATTTATTTCTATAGATATGTATCTTTTTAATGTGAAATAGCAATGATTTCCTTAGTCTGTCTTTCTTTTTATTACTGGCAATTTATTTTTTTATAGATAATATGAACTTCTACGTTATAGTTTTAAAATTCCATTAAGCTGTAGGCTATAGTTATTGTCTGTTATCTAGTATTCTACTAATATTAATTAATGTTAATTTTTTTCTACATTATTACATACATGTTTATTTTAAAATAAAGCATTGAAATAGTACAAAAATAACTTAATAATAAATCAAAATAAACTCTAATTCAAATAAAGTGTAATAACTAAACGCAATAACTCTATTTTCTCTATAGTTATTAGTTGACGAAATCAAAATGGCGTCTTTCATACTTTAGTTCATTTCCGCCGCATATTTTGCCGTTTTCATTTAACCGTGGGTGTGACTATTTATTTGTGTTTTGTACGTTTCTGTGAACTATAATTTAGTGTTTTGTGTTAATTATACTTTGAAACGCTCTAAACATTTGTGAGGAATAGTTGGATTCAAGTTTTTACTAAGGTATGTCTCCTTTCACTCAACTAATATTTAAGTGTGATAATTAAGAAATTATCATAAGATTGTTACACACATTTTGTATTGAGTGGTGATTAAAGCATCCGCTGTACATTCATATTTATTTAATGTGCGCCGGAAACACTAGTTTAGTTCAGTAGGTGAAAAGAACAAGTTTTTTTCTTCGAGGACGCGGCCTGTATGACACCGGGCCCGTATTTTGTCGAGTCCTCGCAGTTGCGAATGTGTCGCGTATCGTCTCCGTTGTATTTACGTCGTCTATAACTTTTAAATTGCTTAATTAAATTAGTCATTCGTGGAATACGACGAGCAATATCTTGTCTCTGCATTTTCTCCATTGGATTGCAGTGTTTTGTGTGTGTTGATTGCAAATGTTTCGCTTGGTTTAATATAAGCAAATGTTCCACTGGGTTACCAAGTAAAACCCCTGTCTGGGATCCTGAACTATAGTTTTTAAAAATAAGTGAATATTAAGTTATTTTTTTATGCTTCCGTCCAGTGTTTTTTTTTTTAAATCAGTGATCTATACAGGTGATTTTGAAGGTGAGCATTCATTGTAGTTATAGTTCAATTAAATTAATCTATTAATTATATCATAATAAGCAATGGCAAAATTAAGACTGGCCATTTTGTCTATGATTTTTTATTATTTTAATAAAATAAAAAAGGGAAGAATTTTTATTTGGAATTGTTCCCTATTATTATATTGTCTCTGTTAACTTTTGCAAAGATTCATTAATTTTGTTATAAATATATTTTCTTATAATAAAATTAAATATTTTCTTTATCAGTATGTTCAGTAATCAAGATTTATAGTAAGGCCTTTTTACTATAAACACTGCCACATGTGGGTTACTCCCCTGGGGAGGAAGGTTTATTTATTTTAACTATCCCAGCTATATTATTTTATATCGTAATTTGTAATAGTCGTTTGTTATTTATTTTACTACTTTATTGTACTTTCCTCTCTAATTTTATGACATATGACAGAGCAAACAATATTATATTTTATGATACTTTACAGCTGTATGAGAATTTAACCAAAATTTGATCTATGTAATATGGGGGAATGGGATTTCTTAGTAATGTGGACTAATAACCCCATTCCTAGTAAAGTACCATGTCAGTTTGACCTCCATGCGGTTCCCCTGGAACCTATTGTAGTAAATTGTCATTTACCACGATGGATTAACTGACCTGACTTCATGCACATTTTATCATCCTCCACGGGTGCCCTGCCAGTGTAAATGTTATCACAGATGGGTGTATCATGCTATTATGATCCATAAAAAACTCTGAAATTGCTTCTTTTAATATAAAGCTGGTGGTTTAAAGAAATTGTTTTAATTGTAGTAATACATATGAATGTGGATGGTTGTAAAGGCAGAGGAAGGCAGAAAAAGAGATGGAAAGACTGTGTGAAAGATGATATGATAAGAAAGGGAGTAAATAACGAGATGATGTATTTAAACATTATAAATCCATCAAGTAGTGAGATGACTATGAACAGGGATGAATCTAAAAACACATTATGCTGACCCTAAATAAATGGGATAAGGATGAAGCAGATGATAATCATGTTTCAATTCTAGTAGTTTAGCATATATGGTAGAACCTTTAAAATTATTATATCGAAGCAACTAATACTATTTAAAAAAAAAATGTTTAAAGCACAAAAACATGTTTCTAATGATGCAAGCATATGACGTTCTAGTAGTGATAAGGAATGATGACACATTGTATTGTGACTTAAATAACATATGAAGAAGGAGAGAGACAAATACCTTTATTTACCACAAAATTATTCATGGTAAAACCTGTTTAATTATATCCATGAGATAGATAAAAATTCTTTATTCATATCAAAATTTGATAAACAAGTAACCAGTAAAGTAAGAAAATTATACATAAGAAAAAAAAAACAGTTTAACTTATACATAAGCTTTTTATTTTCTCTTTTTTTCTCTTCCTATCTGCAATCAGTTCAAAACTATGAGCAGATCTATGCTAGGGTGTGGGAACTAACAATGGAGTGTCCACCCAGCTGGAGGATCTGCTCTTTAAGCATACTGCAAGCATTACACACTGTCGCTTCTTTTTGGTCGCTTGGGGTAAAGTATTATACATAAAATGAAAACATAACAAATGTAAAGTAAGAATAAAATTATTTAAAGGAGCAACACACAAGTTTCTTACTTGTTGTTCTTGTGATGAGACAGCTTTCAGAGTGAGTGATAGATAAAAAAAAATGTGATGACTATTCAAAAGTACTTTAATGTAAGTTTATTTGAATAAATTATTTTCTATTTCATAATAACTAGCTATCTGTCCAGCTTCATATGGGTGTACATGTATTATACATATAAACCGTCGTCTTGAATCACTATCCATTTCAAAAAATTGCATTAAAATCCATTGCACAGTTTAAATGTTCTATGGGAACAGATAGCAGAAGCTATTTTATTTCATACTATGTAAAGATATGAAGGAAATTTGCTAAATATAAAGAAACTATAGAATTCCACCATATCTCAAACCATAATATTGGTGAAATCAATTGAATTTTCTGGCACCCAAACAAAGACAATGATTCCGTAGGTTTTCTTTGTTTATCTGCAATCAGTAATAGTGCTATATCAATCAGATCAAATCAACAATAATATATGAATATTATTGAAGGAAAAATAGGGGAAGCGGAAGACCATGACACAGCTATATTAAGCTGATTAAGGAAAAAGTAATTGTTTAAGAATTATAATTTGCATGCCTCCTAAATATGAGGCAAACATTTGTACCTAACACTGAAAATTTTGAAGCAAATAAATTACCTATCCATCTAAATTTTAAGTCGTGTGTCGTAATATGGCAAGAGCTACACAAAAAACTGTGGCTCTTAAATTATGAATGAATTATAAACGTCTTATGGATGATAATGGAATGGTGCACCCGCCTGCGCTAACGGTTTACGCTGATGGGGCACCAGTGGAGGACGATAATATGAGCATGGTCAGAGTTAGCCCATCGTGGTAAATTCATCATGATTTTATCACGATGGTTTCCAGGGGGATCCACATGGAGGTCAGCCTGACATGGTACATTGCTGGCGATGGGGTTATTAGTCCACATTACTAACAATACCCTTCCCCCCAAATTATGAATGTTGAGTCTTTTAGTATTATTATTTTTTCAATATAAAATTAAATACTTTCACTGCTATAATTTGAGGGTCACAAAAAATGTTAGCATTGTGCATTTATATTCTTTACACAACCTTGGCTACTGCTCATCTATACATATAAATACTATTGGAGTGTCTGTTATAACAGTTTTTTACTACATGCATATCTGCTGTTGTTTGTACGGGCTAATCTCTGAAATGGCTGGACCGATTTTGACGGGACTTTCATTGGCAGGGAGCTGGTGTGGTAACGAGTATCTAAGTCTACTTTTATTTTAGAAAAATAAAGTTCAATTCCACACGAACGAAGTCGCGCGTACGGCTAGTCTATACATATAAATAAAATTGGAGTGTCTGTTATAACAGTTTTTTACTACATGCATATCTGCTGTTGTTTGTACGGGCTAATCTCTGAAATGGCCGGACCGATTTTGACTGGACTTTCATTGGCAGGGAGCTGATGTAATAACTAGTAACTTGACTACTTTTATTTTAGGAAAATAAAGTTAAAATCCACGCGGACGAAGTCGCGGGTACAGCTAGTGAATAATAACCCTAGATAATTCACACAACGTAATCAAGGGATGGTTCATGTCGCATACGGACGAACGCCCATTTCGTCTGGCAATAAATCTAGTGTAAAGCAGTCATGCTTTTTTTTATACCACGTAGATAGCAAAGCATACGGGCCATGTCATGGTAAACGGTAACCGTAGCCTATGGACGGCCGTCTAGAATACCAGGGGTGTCACGTGCGCGTTGCCGACTCGTGAGAAACCTTAATTTTGCATTGTGTTGTGTACTTACCTAACTGAAAATATTTCAGTATCGTATCGTGTTATAGGTACGACATATCTTAATCTTTTTTTTTTAAGTGTCTAGTAAATTTAAAGATAAAAGTCTTTAGAGACTGAGGTTTAGGGCGTTCACACTACAACGTCGTAATGTGTGTCATGTTGTAGTTTATTCGACAAGCATAAAAAAAGCCATAAAAATTAGATGAAAGCGAAATAGACTGAGCACAGATGACAGAAAGAATAACAAACTTTTATTAATACTATGCGAAGGACACAGAATATAAATTTATATTTTACGTAGCTTTTTTATAACCTTGCAGATGATTATAAAATGTTAATAATAGACAATGATTAATTAATAAGTGTAATAGTTTTAATTTAAACTAGATGGTCCGACTTTGTCTCCATCACACTTGATTGGCATTTATAATTATATTTCTCCTAATTTACATAATATCTTTTTAAATTATAGCCCATGATATAAGCTATATTACTGTAAAGTTTCATGAATAGTTTTTGTGTGAAAGAGTAACAAACATTCATCTATACTCATAAACTTTCGTTTCGTTTAGATAGTCCTTCGCAAAGGCAACTCAGATTGACAGTTTCGATAGTGAATTCATCCCTACGTGCTTGAACCTAAATGACCTTGGACAGTACAGTTTCAGAGGAGCTTCCACCCGCGTATACATAGATTGTGATCATCATCATCATCATCTGCTTCTTTCTTATCCCATTTATTTGGGGTCGGCGTAATATGTTTGATAGATTGTGATATTCTTATATTTATCAATATAAGATAACACATCTATTATGCTCGCCTTTTTTCAGAGATATCCTTAGGAGCGATGATTTTTATCTCCTCAGGATAGAGTCAACCTTCCATAGAAGATATTTCTTTTACGCATGATGCAAAATAGAAATAGAAATAATCTTTATTCGAATAAACTCATTACGAGCACTCTCTCTCATTCGGAATGCAGATTCATCACAAGAAGAATGAGCAAGAA